CATAAAAGTGCCATTGTTATCGCATAAAATGAAATTAGTTCATGAACTCAATGATAATCCCCATAGCTTTGTATACTTACCAGGAAAAAATACAAATGCTTAATTTATTAGATACATATTCGTCTTTTCTTTGAAGATTGTCTGCGAATTGAATTTTCTAATTTCCGTCACCCTATTTGGGATGTTTGGAACAGCAACTGATGAAAAACTGTGTTTTTTACATAGAAACCAAAACTAGATAATGATGCTGTTGCTAGACGCATTGACGCAGTTCCCATTGAATTGCACGAAAAATTCTGAACAATTATGAAAATTACTGTTTGCGGACAAAATGCTCTAATTACTTTGGCTCTGAAATTGTTTCGGCGAACTTTTCATTGACGCAATTTAGCCCGCAAGGTTCAAGCGATTGTTTATTTTTAAAATCGAACGGAATAATTAAGAAAAAAAACATAAACAGGAAATAATAGATGGCAAAGTTGAAAGCGCCGGAGCTTGATAAGGTGATTTATGGGTGTCGAAATGCACTGCTCAAAACATCATTTATGTACGGACGTCAGTCACCAGTTCCCGATGATCGATTGATCAAATATTAGTAGAACAATCATTAAGCCTTTGCAGTTGGTTTTGATGATTAATGGCGCGATGCCATAAACCCATAAACGATTTCCTTATAAGTTCGTGAAGTAAAATCCCTTTGCAGATATGCATGCTGACAAAACCCCTTTGCAAAGTGCAAGCGAAACTGAAGAATGCGGTTTTGTTGGTTCAATATCAGCACTGGCACTTCTGCCAGAACTAAGCTTTATGAATCGCCCATGGTAATAGCAAAATTGCTTAAGCTTCCAGTAAATCCATCATCCAAAGCCGAAAAGTTTATTACTTGTCGGGCACGTGAAACGTAATGCGGCGAATTAAAAAAGGAAGCATTTTATCTAAGTGAATTAGGATGAGACATTGTGTGCTTTGCGGATTAACTGATGATTACGAATAAAACTGTGATGACCAATTGAGGATCAATGGACAAAATAATCTAGAGATAATCAGTATCTGATTAGACGGCGTGATGTTGCGGCTTTTCGATCTACTCAACCGGAGACAGTAGTTTAAAATAAACTCGCACTAAACTTGAAAGAAAGAAAATGAACGGAACCGGCTAGAGAAAAATAACAAGTGAATAAGTCTAAATGAGACTACAAAATATGAAAACTCTCCTGGAAACTGGCCAAAGGCCAGATCAAAATGAGACCATATTGTTTCGATTATTTCAACGCTTCCCCCCACGCGTGAAGGGATTGACTTTTTGATTAAAAATTGCAGTTTGATTGTTTTTTAAATAACATCTTAAAAAGTCTCCCCCAAACATTGTGAGATCGTTTATGTACTGCAATTCACTACTAGAGAAGTTCAAGTAGACAAAAGATTTTGCAAGCTGCGTTTAAAGGCATGCATGTTGAGTTGCGCTTTCAGTTGTTGCCGCTCTCTGAGTAAATGAGTTATAACTCATCGGGGAACGAGTCATAACTCATTTAAGCTGTACGAAACCCTAGACTGGAAATTTAACATTCGGAGTATCGATTTTCCAGCAACGGAACTGAGTTACTGAGTATCAAGCCATTTGCGTAGCACTGTTCCAACACCTAAAATCCACTGAATTTTCTTTCCTGTAGAAACTATTGCTCAAAACTTCGGTTTTTCTGGTTTTTGCTCTAAAACCGGAAAATTTCGAGAAACTTTAAAATTCTTCAGACCGATGAAGTTTTCCATGAGGTTTTGAAATAGTTGATCATATTTCTTTGCTTTCGCTGATCATTTTTTTGGAAAACTAATTTTTCCCAAATACGAAGGTAAAACGGATATTCGAAAAAGACACCGAATGAAGGAAAAGAAGACCAAATTATAACTACGCCCAGTTTCCTTGTAAAATCGATGTTTTAATTTTTTTGATCCAAATACCCAGGTGCTCTGTTTGCTACAGTTTAGAAAGTTTTGCTTAGAAATAATGACCTAAATGTGAAGAAACCGGAATTAAAAATAACGAAATTACTCACAGCGACGAAGTTGGCCTATTTTCCTTAGGCTTTTGTTTAAAAAAAGTTGCAAAACTTTAAAAAAAATCTTTACACAGCGGTTAAGGAGGGACACTCTCTCCTCCAATAGAATTTATTTGAAAATTTTTCACATAAAATACCTGAATATTGTCAGTGTTTTTAAGAAAAACTTTAGAAAATAATGCGTTTCTTGCTTAGAAAATTTGCTAAAACTGGAAAGACCTGAAATTTTAAATGTACTTTAAAATTCTTCAGAGTGATGAGTAGCGAATATTCCAAATAATTTTTTGTAGTCTTTTGCTTTCTGGTCGTTTTCAAGATACTCTTAATTACTTTGGAAAAAAGTAATTTGGTTTTTGTACTAAATTCGAAGCTTAGAAGCGTTTTCTCCCAATTTTCTGACATTAATTGTGTCATTTTTGGCTGAAAAGACCCTATGGTTGTCGGAAAAGAAGAAAAGCATCAGAAAATAATGGACTTATTGCGTTTTCGATTAAAAACTTTTAGTTTTGTGATCGGTTTTTTAGAAAACCTTAATAATTTTCCGGAAAAACGGGAAAACATATTTTTTTGTTTTTGCCCCGCATTCGTCAAAACTAAAAATCCACAGTTTTTAAACCATCTCTACAGTCCTCAGAGGGACGGAGTTGATGAGTTTTTATGAACTTTCTGTTATATTCTGTATGTCTTTCCGTTCTCTTTTTAATAAAAAAATAGTTGATTTTCGTCCTAAATTTGAAGCTGGAAAAGGATTTCAATACTTTTTACGAGACGACGAAGTAGGCGAGTGTTTAGAGCAATTAGAAGAAACAGTATCTTTGCTAAAACTGAAAAAATCTGAAATTTTGAAAAAACTAAAAATATTGTTAACAAATGGGGTCCTTAAAATAAATCGAAAAACAACTTATCAAATCAAAAAAGTCATTTTTTTGCCGGCAAAGGAATTGAGTTTTTACGCCGGTGCGTTGGGTTGGCCTACCAAACCATTTGCGCAGCACTGCGCCAACTCCAAAAAGTTAACTGAGTTACCCAGGCCTAAAAGGCATAGTTTGAGCCAAAAAGCTCTTGCGATATTTGAGATAGTCAAAATACGTAAAAAACATAAAATAACTGCAGTTGCTTAATTATTGAAGGTACGAAAAATGTGTTAAAACTAACTCTGGGATATTCATTGAGTAAATTGACCCAAACGACTTATTTAATAAAAAAGTGTTCAAAATCCTCTTAGAGAAATTAGTGCAAGGAAAAAGGAGACACTATTAAAAAATAACTGAGGACAAAATAATGTTTGCATTAAACAGGCGGAGACACAGTAAAACAAGTAGAAATTATGTTTTGCTACGCGCTAAGTGCATGAGAAAGTTATAAAGCTTGCGAACTTTTGAACAAAGTGATTTTGCTACTACAGCTTTGGCAAAAAAAAACGATTTTTTAAGCAAAAAACAACTTTAGAAACTTCTTTTACATACAACCAGATACTAATTAATCCATTTTGACGAAACCGACGGAAAGCCACAAAAACTTGTTGAAAACCGCCAATATTTAATTTGACTAAAGCAATCAGTTAATAAGCACAAATTATTTTTCTTGAGTTTAATGGCTTATTATTATTAGCTAAAAAATGTCAAATAAAAATCTTCCTTAATTCTGCAAACGCATAGATAACTTTAAAGTTTGAATTCTTTTTTGCAGTCTAAAGTGTCTTTTAAATATTTCTCTCAGGAACAAACGTCAGTTCAGTTCACTCAAGTCTTCAATATTGTTTTTATATTTCTGTTAGGAAAAGAGGATTAATCCGTAAATCCAGTCGGTCGGTTCAGTTCCGAAGATTGTCTGCCCTCGAAAAGTTTTCCTCCTTAACCAAAAGCTAAAGGAATCTGGTGGAAACTGCCAGATAAATATTTGAAGAAAGCAATTAGTTAAAAAGCAAAGAATATCTTTTCTCTTCAGCTTAAGGTTCTTCCACATTTTTTCAATATTTTAAATTTTTGGGCATTTTGTTGAATCAAAACCTTTTGAGGCTTTTCATGAGGCTGACCTTTCTCATTTTTTGAAAAACATGAATCATTATAATGCTTTTTTACATTATGGTAGTATTTTTTAATACTAAAATTTTTCGAAAAAGTGGATTAATCCTTTAATTGGGTTGGTCAGTTCAGTTCACTCAAATGTTAAAAATAATGTCCTAGAAAGTTTGCCTTTTTAACTAAAACCCCGAGAAAGTTGGTGAAAACTTCCAAATAGATATTTGAAGAAAGCATTTAGTTAATATGTAAAGTATATGTTCCCTTTGTTTGGCCAGATCTTGAGTCGATCTACTGCTCTTTTACATTGTTGTGCTTTCCTTAACTTTTCATTTTAGGGAGGATTAATCCCCAAATTGTTCTAATAAACTTTGAGGTTCTCTATGTGGCCAAAAGCCTTTTTAAGCCTCTATCAACAGAGACTAATGAGTATCCTTAGTTAAAGTTGTAACCAGTAGATGGTTTCACCTAATAAACAAAATTTTTGACCGTCAATTTATCAGAGGACACACAATATTTAGTGAAAGAAAAGAAGCCAAAGCTGGTGGAAAATCGGGAAATAAATCACTTTAATTGGCGCTGTCCTATGCGTACTGTATAAATATGTTTTACCGAACATAGCAAAAATATCCTTTACATCATCTGACCAATGACAACAAACAGCATATTTTGCCTGTTTACTAAGGATGTTTTTATTGTTGTTTAATTTGAATACAATTACTTAACTTGGTGAGGTTGCAATGTTGAAACGTTTCGTGAGCAAATAGAATTGTAGACAATAAAAGACTCAAACGTTTTCGAGAATAATTCCTCAAAAGCTTAATTTTTGCGCCTTAAAAATTTGCATGCTCAAGTGTTCTGGAACATTCGAAACAATGCTACTTTTTTCTCAAGGGCTTTAGGATGTAACGAAATAACACAAAAATTAGCAAATTTTAATCAACTTTATTATGGCTGCTGCGTTCCTAATATAAACTAACTCTCTTGTAATAAATGCTAGTTGTCCGACTGGAAAACGCCTGGGAAGTAGATCGTTTTCTTCAAACTCATCTTTGAACGCCGCTTGGAAAAGCTGCAACAACAAGGACTGATTTAGTATCAGGAAAAGTTCAGAAAAATCTGATTTGTACCAGAAAAGCTTTTTCATGTGCTCCTTTTACAGGAAGTTTCTTACCTTCAGAATATCGAAGCTTTTTCACTGGTACTCCAAGAAAGTGGCCTGCTGCTCATTTAATCGAAAAAACTAATCGAGCACTGGTTTTCAAGTTCTTATGCTTGCCGCTGCAGCTGCTGGACGAAGAACTGACGGAATTAGAAGAAGTGTTCCTCTGGATTCCCTGGCTCTTCTGGTCCTGGTTGATGTGTAGGAACTTGTCGATCACTTGACGAATGGAGCTGTGGGTACGACTGAAGGGATTTGTGTACATTTTGTCTGAATTTTCGATCGCACAATATCGCGTTTGCCTCGTTATGTGTTCGACTGATGGAACTTTCGTGTGCTGCTCGCTTTTATAGCGGATCTTGCCAGCTTGAACGTCACGGTCAATGTCGCAGGGCATCCTGCAGCCGCGTCAACACTTAATTGATGTCATCCATGATTGCAAGAAATTTAGTATCTACATAATTGCTTTCTACCGTTCATTCCATTTAATTTGTTTCGTGTAGTATGTAGGTCCATCCACAAATTCAGAAAGTTTTTTTAATTGAATTCAACTGTTTGCTTTAACTTGTTTTCAAACACTTTCATCTGTTTAAGATTTCCGATAATTTTCGTGTCTCTTGTGTGTGAAGGCAGAAAGTTGGTCTTTCGCTGGTAGGGAAATATTCCAGAGTTTTGGTGTCTTCAAATATGTTTGTCTGCTGAAGATTATCCAGAATTTTCTGTGTGTGTGTGTGTGTGAAGGCAAAAAACGGTATTTAGCTATAATTTAGAATATTTTTCAAGGTCCTCTTTTTGTGCGTGTGAAGTCAGTCAATCCTCATTCAGCTAGTAGCCAAAGCTGCCAAAGTTTTCGCGCCTTCAAATATTTTAATCTTCAGAAGATTTTCGAGAATTTTCTGTGTCTGAAGGTAGAAAGTCGGCCTTTTGATAATAGCAAAATATTCCAAAGTTTTGGTGTCTTCAAATCCTCTAATCTGCTGAAGATTTTGCAGAATTTTCTGCGTGTGTATGTGAAGCCAAAAAAATCGGCTTTCAGCTAGTAGCAAAATATTTCGAAATACATTTTGGTGTCTTCAAGTACCTACTTGTTAAAGGTTTTCAAGGATTTTCGGTCATTGTGTGTGTGAAGGCAGAAAATCGGCCTTCAGCTACTCGCTGAATCTTCTAAAGTTTTGATGTCTTCAAATATTTTAATCTGCAGAAGATTTTCGAGAATTTGCAGTGCGTGTGTGAAGGCAAAAAACGATCTTTAGCTAGTAGCCAATTATTTTAGTCAGCTGAAGGTTTTCCAGAATTTTCTGTGTGTGTGTGTGTGTGTGTGAAGGCAAAAAAATGGTCTTTAGCTAGTAGCCAAATATTTTAGTCAGCTGAATATTTTTGTTATATATATTTTTGTAATATATCGTTGTTACACGGGCATATAGGTATGTAATGAAATTATGTGAAGACGCAAGGTTGTAATGGTTACAGCGAATACGATTGATAGAGACTATGTAGTAGCGATCAAGTTTTTTGCGGTTAAACCAGGGATGTCGTTTATTTTTGTAGTATAGTGGAAAATATTGTTTACCCGTCGAAAAGCTTTGGGCCACGATTTTGTTTTGTTTAATATGCAGAAGATTTTGGAAAATTTTCTTTGTCTGTGAAGGCAGAAAGTCGGTCTTTCGGTAGTAGCGAAATATTCCAAAGTTTTGGTGCCTTCAAATATTTTAGTCTGCTGAAGGTGTTCCAGAATTTTCTCTGTGTGTGTGTGAAGGCAAAAAACGGTCTTTAGCTAGTAGCCAAACATTTTAGTCAGCTGAATATTTGTAAAGATCTTTAGTGTGTGCGTGTGAAGGCAGACAATCCTCATTCAGCTAGTAGCCAAACCTACCAAAGTTTTCGTGCCTTCAAAAATTTTAATTTGCAGAAGATTTGCGAGAGTTTTCTGTGTCTCTGTACATACTTTCCTGACTGTGTTTCAATTCCAAATCAAAATCAATTCCTGGGCTTCAGTCATTTATTGTTTCTAATCATCAATTAAAATACGTTTCGGTGTTTTCCACCATCATCAGTTTTTCTAAAATAACAGATAGTTAAAAAAAAAAATTGCATTAATTTAAAAAACAATCACAGTTCGTCAACAGCTTCATCATATCACACACTAAAATACATCACAATTGCAACAATTTAAAACATTCTAAGATTAATTAGGTCCAACAGGTGATTAGTCAGGACAATCAATTCTGAGAAGAGACTAGAATTCTGTGTTCAGGTACTCAAATATTTTTACTTACATGTGTAGCGTTGTTGCTACTTTAAGCCTTGGCATATATTTGGAGTATTAATTTTGTCCATTTTGTACACAAAGCGAAATACTGTTTATATTGATTTCTTTTACTTTCAGCTATTTTTCTTTGCATTCTAAGAATATTATTTTTGGTTTGCAAAATTCCTCAATATACCGAGTGTTAGTTAATATTCTATGGTTATTTCATTTAATTAATGTATGATATACTGAGCTAAGATTGTCGGTATCCGATCTGAAATTCATAGCAAAAGTTATATTGGGTTATAGCGAATTCTTCTTAGACTGTTTTCAAGTTTTGCTTCTTTGACCGTCGTATCGAGGACAGTTCCAAACAACGTGATTTATATCTTCAATATCGTTGTTACACGGGCATATAGGTATGTAATGAAATTATATTTACTCTAGCAAGTGAAGATGCAAGGTTGTAATGGTTACAGCGAATACGATTGATAGAGACTATGTAGTAGCTGTTGATGACGCTGTTGATGACGATTGATAGAGACTAGTATTTTGTAGTATAGTGGAAAATATTGTTTACCCGTCGAAGAGCTTTGGGCCAAGATTTTGTTTTGCGTTTGCGAATAGCTATCTTTCGCAAATTGTTCAAATACATTGGTGAACGGAGCTTGTACAATATCAGAAGTGTTTAACAGATAGGTTTCTTTTGCCAAAGATTCAACTGGTTCATTTCCAAAGATACCCCTATGAGATGGAGGCCAGAAAAATGAGAAAGAGGTGTTGTATTTATTGTTTGAGTTAAAAAGATTATATTTGTGCTTGATATCGATATCGAGATATGAGATTGTATGAATTTATTTTGATTGATTTTAATGCTTGGAGGTGTGCGAATCTGTATAATTACAAATGTTTTTGTATTTATTTTCAAGCGGAGCACTAAGCGCATCATTTAAGGCAGTGTCATTAAGTCGCATTTCTGTGTGTCTCTGAAGGCAGAAAGTCGGCCTTTTGATAGTAGCGAAATATTCATGAGTTTTCGTGTCTTCAAATATTGTAGTCTGCTGAAGATTTCCCAGAATTTGGTGTGTGTGTGTGTGTGAAAGCAAAAAACGATCTTTAGCTAGTAGCCAAATATTTTAGTCAGCTGAATATTTGTATAAGGTCTTCAGTGTGTGCGTGTGAAGGCAGACAATCCTCATTCAGCTGGTAGCCAAATCTACCACAGTTTTCGTGCCTTCAAATAATTTTATCTGCCGAAGATTTTCAATAATTTTCTGTGTGTGTGTGAAGGTAAAAAAACGGTCTTTAGCTAGTAGCCAAATATTTTAGTCAGCTGAATATTTTTGAAGATCTTCAGTGTGTGCATGTGAAGGCAGACAATCACCATTCAGCTAGTAGAGAAATCTTCCAACATTTTCGTGTCTTCAAATATTTTAATCTGCAGAATATTTTCGAGAATTTTCTGTGTGTCTCTGAAGGCAGAAAGTCGGCCTTTTGATAATAGCGAAATATTCCAAAGTTTTGGTGTCTTCAAATCTTTTAGTCTGCTGAAGATTTTCCAGAATTTTGTGTGTGTGTGTGTGCGAAGGCAAAAAACGGTCTTTAGCTAGTAGCCAAATATTTTAGTCAGCTGAATATTTTTGAAGGTCTTCAGTGTGTGTGTGTGAAGGCAGACAATCCTCATTCAGCTAGTAGAGAAATCTTCCAAAGTTTTCGTGCTTTCAAATATTTTAATCTGCAGAAGATTTTCGAGAATTATCTGTCTGTCTGTGAAAGCAGAAATTCGGTCTTTCGCTAGTAGCTAAAAATTCCTAAGTTTTGGTGTCTTTAAATATGTTAGTCTGCTGAACGTTTTCCAGAATTTTCTGAGTGTATGTGTGGAGGCAAAAAATCGGCTTGCAGCCAGTAGCAGAATATCTCGAAGTTTTTCTGAGTGTCGAGAGAAAAATCGAGTCTCAGTTAGTTAAAACAGGTGGCATAACAGGATTAAATTTCCGGGTTTTGGTTGACGGTTTCTTCAAAGTCTTCCAGCTTGGTTTTTTCGGTTAGCCGTCAGTCGATTCCATTCATTGGCACCTTCTTGCAAAGCTGCATCTCCATATAATCTCTTTTTTTTTTCATTTTTTCAGAGTTTTTTGTTAATTTCTATCAACAGATTGTTTATATGGTCTTTTTTCGTTACAGCAAATTTTCCGTTTCCTTCCAAGTTTGTCCAGAATGTTATTCCTTTGCATTCAATAATAGGTCATACATTTGACTAGCACTAGCCATTAACTCTATAGACAATAAAGGCCGAATTAATTAATGCTTATTTACCACATAATAGTTCAGACAGTTGACCGGTTTATAGCATCACAAATACGCTAATCGAGGGCCGCCAATTACGCTTAATACTATTTAATTGGTTCAATTAATATTCCATAAGGCACTGAACTGAACTGAACTGAAAGTCGTTAGTTTCAGCTTTTCATCTGTAAGTTTCGGTTTTGTAATTAATTTAAACTTGCAAATTTTTGTATTATTAACTATGGAAACTGAAAAGATAATTAATAAAAAAACAGCTGTTTTACTTTTAAAGGGCTTGATTGAATCACATTTTATTACTATTTTTTATTAAAAAATCACATGCTGTTTATGGGTTTACCGGTTAAGTTCATGTGTAGTTAAAATTCTCTGTTCAAGCTGCCTTTAGAGGCTCAAATAATTTATTGATGTATTGCAGTTTTTAGAGGAAGGAAACTAATTGATATTAAATTACAAACTTTGCACTGATTAAAATTGAATTTTCCTCAAATCTCATGCGACAAAAGACAACCAAAACTGCCTATGCGGAACTCAAATCGTAAAAATTTCTAGCTGATTTTCTATTTTTCGTACTATACCACAGCACTTCTTTCTATTATTTTCCACATCCGTAAGCTTGTTTACAGTGAGCTCTAGAAACGTGGCAAATTTCAGTTTTCTTTGCCCTGACCAGGGCAGAAGTTCTACTTTCCAACGAAAGCTGGAAAATTTTGCAAAACGTCACGGCTAATGCTAAATCTAAAACTTTCAACATTTTTTTTGGTTATATTGAAAGTTTGTGCCATTCAACTGCTCCAGTTTAGAAATTATGAATTTTTAGATGAGGGTCTGCTCAACAACAAAACTGGTTTTTAAGTGAAAGCTTTATAAATTCGCACCGCTCCAAAGCTTCTGAGAATTCGTTGAAGTCGAGCCCTTTGCTCTGAAAGGTCGAAATTTCGGTTTCCGATTTAATGCAATTCAAGAGTTGCGAATTATTAAAAACAGATTTGGTTCATGTAGGAAAACCACTGCTTCTACCCAAAGAAGTGAAAAATTTACAAATTGCAGTACGTTTGGGTAATTGAGTGAAACTCTATGCACACTGAGCAGTGGGTATTTTATACGAATTCTGGCAGTTTGAGCGTTCGGTCTTGGTAAAGGCAAGAGATATGCATTTAAAAAAATGATCTTCCATAATTTTAAGAAACCACTTTTTAAGGTAAAGTTGCAAGTTTCACAAAACTCCGTGGGATCTGGAAATTGGATCAAACTTTACGTGCTATTTAATAGTAATCAATTTTTAGACGCACCATATCGAAAAACCGCTTCTTATGATAAAGTCTAAAAAATTCCCACGGCGAATCGGCTTTGTATAAATGAGTGAAATTTTCTGCACATTGAGCCCATAACATTTTCTATAAATTCCGAAAGCTTCGGATTTTAAACTGCTAGAGGTTAGGAGTTATGAATTTTTACAATCAGCTCTGCTTAACTCTAACTGTTAAGGTTAATTTATGTCATTCCTCAGAACCCAATAGTTTCTCATTGAGTTTTGGAAATTCTTTAAAACTTTTTACACAATGAATTCGAGTCTATTTCTACAAATGCTCAGAATTTGACCTTTTTACGGGCTGAAATTAAAGAGTTATACATTTCTTAAAACACATTTCTTTAATATGGGAAATCCGATTTTTAGGTAGATTAGAGAAACTTTTCCCAAAATTTCTTGGAATATGGAAATTTTCTGCAACTTTATACGTATTGGAGCTCGAGACTGTTACTATGATTTTTCAAACTTACAGTCTTTTAGCTTATGCGATTTAAGAGTTATGATTTTGAACAGACAGGTATGCAAAATATCGAAAATCACTTTCTACAGAAAGGAAAAAGTTCCGGCAATTCAAGAGCTGGGAGTGATTGACTGATTTGTTTAAATCATTGACCTCAAGAAATTGTCTATACATTTCGAAGGATTAGGACTTAGGACCTCGAGTCTTTTTCAAGAAATATGAGGGCCTCAAATTCTCTAAATATGCTTATTAGACTTAATGAACTGTACCTGTTGATTTAACAGAATACAAACTAAACGTTGATTATTTGCTAAAGCAAAGAAAAACACGTAGGAGAAATTGCTGTTTTTATAAGAATTTAACAATTGAGGAAACACGGAAAGACAGTGGAAATAACTGAAAGAACTGTTAAAAAAATGTAAGCAACATTTACTGAAGAAAAACTTTATCAAACAAAAAGACCAGCGAACGAAAAATTAATTGAATTCCTGATGATACTGTAGAATCTTCATCTTAATTCCTTCACTTAGCGATTTCTTTCATAGCATTTCCAGCGATTTTCCTCAACTCTGTGATTGTTTATTCGCGTTCCTCTCCAGATCATCTTTTCTCATTTGATGTCGATCGACAGTCAGTAGCTCAAAGAAAAAGCACTCCAATCAATGGGAAAGTATTTCTCACTTTCCTAAAACCAGTTAAAAATCTCCGTACATATAGCAAGTGATAAATGCACTATTAAGCCTAGAATATTTGCAATTTCTAGGCCAGGCAGTACATTTTTATCTCACTGAACCTGTAGTCGTCTAGTTAATTAATTAATGTCCCGTCCAAACAGTTTAATATTTTAACAACGCGAATGTGTTAATTGGCCCATCACTTTGCATTTAATTTGATTCGCCGAAATCACTTTTTCCTAAAAGCAATGGCTGCTTTACATATATTTTAACAACTTTTCGGACATTTGGTAATCCCATGTACGACACTCGGCTGTAAACAACAAAAACACCTTTAAAAACCTTCATTAATGAATTTGTTTGTGCACTTTTAGCAGCTGCAGGAATTAGCAAAGGTGCAATTAGCAAGCAAACTGATTGTTTTGCTGTTTTATATGAAATTGGGTAAATATATGTATGGTAATAAGTATTTCATATCGATCTGTTTTGTATTGTTTTATTTATTTTTTTTGTCTATGTTCTTTTGTATCACTCGCTTTGTGTGAGTGGCAATAAAGTGTATTTTGCAAAAAATGCACTTTAGAAATTAAAATTGAATGATGAGGGTAATGAAAACAGTGGAACTAAATTCATAAGATGCTGCTTGTTCGTTCAAAGGCCTCGGGCATTTTTGCAGAAGAATTTTATCATTAGGACCTTTCTTTGACTGTCTGGACAAGTCTTTGAATGTTGAATTTGTTAATGAAATAAGTCAATTTTCAAGTGCGCTTTAAGCCCATCTGGTTGCATCATGCTCGAAAAATAGTCCATAATTTGGAAGCATATCAGCAAGGAACTAGGGGCGAAAGCTCGAATTGTTTAACTGAAAACGTCTCCTAATGCGTTTTTCAGCAGCTAAAACCTTGAAGCATTTTAAAACACTGCGTACTGACAAAGCTAAAAATGCATCTTTAATTGATGAGGAATTTAGCACTTTACAAAATGTTTTGCGATTAAAATTAATCGGCTAAGCAAAATGGGAAATTGACAAAATTGTACCTCTTTATTCAAAGCCTTCCGGCATATTTGCTCAGTAGTTTTATGATTAGGGCCAACATCACTATTCGCGCTTCAAGTTCCGAGAACTTTCAGCTTTATAAAAAACCATTTTATGAGCACATTCTTCATTTATTATGAGTTTTCAGGTTTTTTTTTAATTTATTTTCCACGGGCTGAAACCACAGCTCCAAAGCTGAACTCCGATTTAGCTCACCCGTCGGTTTGTTTAGCAAAAATTAATTCAACTCTTTCGTAAAAAGCTCACTGATTTGTTTGATGATCTTTTCCAGAATAATTATTCAATGAAAACGAGCTCGATTAAGGGGATTGTTTCAAGTCAATTTTCAAGTGCGCGTTTTTTTTCATTCGGTTTTGTGGGGCTCGATAGATGGTTTCATGAACAAACTCTTTGGAATTTTCTTTTGTTATGCGTCAATACATGTGGGTTTCTTTTCCTAATTTGGTAAATTTTATAGTGCGCCTATTCACCATCTGGTTCGATTAGGCTCGAGCAATTATTTTCAGCTTAGAAGCATTTGAGAAAGGAACTGGGGGAAAAAGCTCGAATTGTTTAACTGGATACGTTCTGACGAGTTTTTTTGCTAACGAATCAAGTGTTTCAAAAGAAAGCGTCGACGAAGTATTTAAATTAATGACAAATTTTGCACTTTAAAAATAAAAATTTGTCTACTAAACACAACTTGAATGATGAGGGAAATTAACACAGAGGAACTAAATTCGTTGGATCTTACTTGTTCGCTCAAGGGCTCGGGCATTTTTGCAGAATATTTTTATCATTGGGACGTTAAACAGTTTTATCATAAAACTATTTGAATGTTTCATCTGTTAATGAAATAAGTCAATTTTCAAGTGCGCTTTAAGCCCATCTGGTTGCATAACGCTCGAGAAATAATCCAAAGTTTGGAAGCATCTCAGAAAGGAACTCGGGGTCGAAAGCTCGAATTGTTTAACTGAAAACGTCTCCTAATGCGTTTTTCAACAGCTAAAACCTTGAAGTATGTTAAAACAGTGCGTACCGACAAAGCTAAAAAATCATCTTTAATTGATGAGGATGAGGACTTTGCAATTTTTTTGCGATTAAAATTAATCGGCTATGCAAAATGTGAAATGGACAAAATTTTACCTCTTCATTGAAAGCCTTCCGTCATATTTGCTCAGTAGTTTTACGATTAGGACCAACATCAGTATTCACGCTTCAAGTTCCGAGAACTTTCAGCTTTATAAAAAACCATTTTATGAACACATTGTTCATTTATTATGGGTTTTCGGGTTTTTTTTTTAATTTATTTTCCACGAGCTGAAACCACTGCTCCAAGGCTGAACTCCGATTTACCTCACCTGTCGGCTTGTTTAGCTAAACTTAATACAATCCTTTCGTAAAAAGCGCATTGTTTTGTTTGATGATCTTTCTCAAAATAATTATTCAAAGAAAACGAGCTGGATTAAGGGAATGGTTTCAAGTCAATTTTTAAGTGCGCGTTATCTTCATTCGGGTTTGTAGGGCTCGATAGATTGTTTTATAAACAAACTCTTTGGAATTTTCGTTTGTTATAAGTCAATAGATGTGGGTTTCTTTTTCAAATTTGGTAAATTTTCAAGTGCGCCTATTCATCATCTGGTTCGATTAGGCTCGAACAATTATTTTCAGTTTAGAAGCATTTGAGAAAGGAACTGGGGGAGAAAGCTCGAATTGTTTAACTGGAAACACTAACTGAGCAGTTTTTCTGCTAATGAAGCTTGAAGTGCTTCAAAAGAATGCGTCGATGAAGTCATTAAATTGACGAAAAATTTACCACTTTAAAAATTAAAATTCGTCCACTGAACAAAACATGAATGATGAGGGAATTTCAAACAGTGCAACTAAATTCATAAGATGCTACTTGTTCGTTCAAGGGCCTCGGTCATTTTTGCAGAAGATTTTTACCATTGGAAACTCTTTGAATGTTGCATTTGTTAATGATATAAGTCAATTTTCAAGTGGCACTTTAAGCCCACGAACCATGCCCGAGAAATAGTCCATAGTTTGAAAGCATATGAGAAAGGAACTCGGGGCGAAAGCTCGAATGGCTTAACTGAAAACGTCTCCTAATGCGTTTTTCAGCAGCTAAAACCTTGAAGCATTTTAATACACTGCGTACTGACAAAGCCAAAAATTAATCTTTAATTGATGAGGAATTTAGCACTTTACCAAATGTTTTGCGATTAAAATTAATCGGCTAAGCAAAATGAGAAATTGACAAAATTGTACCTCTTCATTCAAAGCCTTCCGGCATATTTGCTCAGTAGTTTTACGATTAGGACCAACATCAGTATTCGCGCGTCAAGTTCCGAGAACTTTCAGCTTTATAAAAAACCATTTTATGAACACATTCTTGATTTATTATGGGTTTTCGGTTTTTTTAAATTTATTTTCCGCACTCTGAAACCACAGCTCCAAAGCTGAACTCCGATTTAGCTCAACTGTCGCTAAACTAGATTTAGCTAAAAAACCGTTTAGCTAAAATTAATACAATTCTTTCGTGAAAAGCGCATTGATTTGTTTGATGAGTTAATCTGGGCGATACGGAGGTAATTCAATTTGCGTCAGCACCATCCAAAAAAAAATCTCGACAAATTCCGCATTTATGCTAATTTGTTATTCCGTATTTACACTGATGTTGGTGGTAATTGTTTGAATTTGGAACCAGCCATTAACGGGAATAGTTTTTTATTACTTTTTAATGTGAATTATTGTCCTTAAAATGGTCAGCTGTAGAGGCTGCATTCGAAAACTGGTTATTTTGTCCCAAAAACGATCTGCAAAACAAATCGCTTGACGTCACTAGGGTACATTCACATGGCTTTAACCGTTTTCGTGTCCATTAAGGTTGCATTATTTTTATTGGTACCTCAAGTCTTATTAAGTGTGAAAATATTTCCGGTTAAATGCATCTTAAAAACAGCTTTTAACATGGGAATGAAGAAAATATATGAATGGTTGTTCATGATTGGGAATTTATCATCATTATTTTTTATGATTTCGGGTAGTTTCGACAATATTCTTTGCTTTATTGCATACGCCTTCCAGATATAAGGATTTTTCAGGACTAAGAGCAAATAAAAGGCACCCAAATTCATGTGAATCGAAATTTATAGTGAAAAGCTCTTGTTAAATGTATTTAAAAAAGAATGTCTTATGAATCAAATGTTGCTTACTGATCAAACACAAACTCTGTATATTTAATTTGCAATTTTGTGTTCAAGTGAAGGGATTCTACGATAACAATCGGGCGATTATCTAGTTTCCAAATCCTTAGAGATAAAGTTAACATAACATACTTGAAACAACGTCAAATTTTGTTCAAAAATTTAATTCTATTTCATTTTTCCAAGGTTTGTATGCAGAAAATAGCCTTCTTTCCAAAAAAAGACACCCATCTGAACGAATTTCAACTGCGAAATAATATATGCGTGAAACAAGATAGACCAGTAAGCAGATGCACTAGAAAAAGCAGAATCGCTCTTTTTAGTTCAGTCTTTTCTTTTTAGTTCACGCATTTTAAACATTTCCTTGTTCCACTCACATGTTATCCAACAGCTGAAATTAAAATTCTGAATTTAAATTTGCCTCTACGTTAAACCGTAGTTCAAATAAAGAGATTATGTGCGAGAAATCTGGCGATTATCGAGTTTCCGACATTTAAGAGCTAAAGTCAGGACAACACGTCTGAAAAATGTTCAAAAACATCATCAAACAGTTAAAAAATCTCTTGATATTCCATTTTTCAAAACTTTGTAACACATTTTTTCTCAAAATACACAAAGATTGATAACTGCGAAATAAAATGCGAGTGGAACAAGACAGATAATTTAGCATCTGCGCTAGAAAGAGAAGACGCACAATTACAGCCGTTGCCTTGGAGAAATCGTGGGCCCCCTCTTTTATTAAATCACGTATTTTAAACCTTTCCTTGCTCCACTCACCTATTTTGCACCAGCTAAGATTCAAATGCTTAATTTGATTTGTCTTTACGTTACCTTATTACGTTCATTTTTATTCAAGTGACTTCTAAATCGACATTTCTAGATGCCAGCGGTCAGATGCTAAAGCTTATTAATAAGCTGATTAAGAAATTTGGTCGTTATCCAGTTTTCAACAAATGATGGTCAATACAGAAAAAATGGATTTTGCAAAGGTTTTCTAGACATTTACAAAATGGATTGATTAGGCAAAAAAAACAGCGTCCATATCAGTAGATCACTGTGCTCGGTTTTACGAGAAACGTTCTAACAGTTTCTGAAAACAAAATTATCAACAAAGTTCTACATCAATCGCTGTCGCCAAAAGCTAAGGAAGATAGCTAAGTAAATGTACTAAAAAGAGACGAAGCGGACTTGCAGCCGTTGCTTTAGACACATAAAGAGCGGTTGTCTCTTTTTCATGCACCCATTGGGCCCCTTGCTTTGTTCCATTCCCATGTTTTCCACCAACTTAAATTAATCCGGTTAATTGCATTTTACTTATGCCTGAACCGTACCTCCAAAATTCCATTTAGAATCTCATTTTTGGTTTCTCAAGTTTCATTTTTAGGCACATTTTCCAAATTAGCCCTAGTTCTGCAAAGACGAATTTATGAATTAATTGTTTAAAAGCTAACAAAGCAAGCTCTTTATGGCTTAGACACCGTATAAAAGAAAAGCCTATTTCATATTTCTAGAAACTTTCTAATATTAGCTATCATTACGCATTTTTGGTGCCCCCAGGCTATAAATTTGTTTAATTTTTTTCGAATTACACGACAATTCAAATGAAGAGCGAGTTTTTTTCTAGCAGAGCAATCTAACGATTATCGAGTTTCCAATACTAGTTTTTTGCTAATTGACTAATTAGTTTGGTTGCTAAAAAATGCACTCATCTAAACGATTTTTAATTACAAAAATGCGTTAGTGGAACAAGGCAGATCACAGATTGTCTGGACTAGAAAGAGAAAAACAAGCTTCCAGCCGTTGTCTATCTACTAACTAACTAACCTTCTCTTTTCACTACACGCATTCAAAACTTTGCCTTGTTCCACCCACATATTTTTCCCAAGCTGTTGTACAATACTATTAGATTGTACTGTAATGTTTCCCCAGTACAGAAATTGTTTTTTTTTATTCTTATTTTATGTTATCTTGTTTTGGACGCCAGCCGTAAACTTGTATAACTTATTTGCCTGAATCCGAATTACTTGTTTTCTCTTGGCATTTACACAAATTCATGGCCAGGTTTTTTAAAATCGCAAACGTAACTATTCGTTTTTGCTAGTAAACATGTTGTGCTGAGTTAAAAAATACAGATGCAATTCTATTAGGAACTTTCCAAGGAAACCATTATTTTTGCATTACAGAATTTTACATTTTACCCGAGTCCTGGTGTTTCTGTGTCTCTAACAATGTTTATTCAGTACTTTCTTGTCACTGTTATAATTTGTGCCTAGTGCCTATCTATTGAAACCCGTTAGTAAAATAATTTCTTGTGTTCTTGTTAGTGAATAGATAAGGAGCATTTAATTTTGGACACTCGAACTTCTCCAGCACATAGTTCAGCTTCTTCTGACTCTTCAAGCCGACTGGTTGCAGCAAATTGTTCCACAGCATGTTGGCCCCTGAAAGTCCACATTTGCACTACCAAAAATGTTATTAATAAATCGCCCACCTAAGGCATGGCCCTTTTGCGAGAAGTGGAAGCAATCATGAGTGATATAGGAGATATCAATCACTTCTGAGAACCTCCTCATTGGATCCGTCGGGGCATTGAACAGTTTGATGAATGGCTGAATAACCACCGTGAAATCCTCTCGTTTGTCGTATCGTCCACTCAACACCTGAAGAGGAAATAGAGAGAGAGCGAGAAATGAATTTTTCTTCTAAACAGAGAAAACTGAGCGCTTACCAGTTCTTCTTCAGCTCGTTGATATTCTCTAGTCAAGGTGGTGATAACATCCATTTCGTTGCCTCCTTCATGGAAGCAGGCGCAGAACAGGCGATGAAACAAGTGGCACATCATGGTCCTTTTGATCCGGACGCTAACTGAAACGTCTGCAACCTTTCACTAGTACAGCAAAGGCTCAGATCGAGCTGCCACAAACTTACCCAAAACCGGCACCAAATTAACGAAAGTTCGGGGCAATTGTTCATATAAATAGTCCAAAGCTTTCATCAGTTTGCGGGCGTGGCTTCGAGCTGACGCCTCCTCCTTGTTGTAGCATTGAGCTGAGCAAATGTCGTTGGCTCCAAAAAAAACCGTGATCATTTTCCAGTCTTCGTTCATGTTGATGCGGTGATCGGATTTCATTTTTTTAATCTGAAATTTAGTTCGTAATAGAAGGAGCAAAAACAGGTTCAATTTGTCAATTTTTCGTCAAAGCATCGTTTCCAGGAAACATTTTCCAATTATGGGTTTGTCTTAAATTTTAAATCTGATGATGGCGCTGTTGTCTCGCCGAAACGTAATATGAAATAAACCCAGGAAAGAAAAAATATAATTATGATCTTTCGAATGGCTCAGGATAAACAGACGATTAAAACGGCGAATTAATCAAAAGACATCGGGCAATAACAGCATATACTTTTTTCTCCTATGGTCACCCCATAGTGATCACAGAAAGATTTAAAGTTGGACCGAGAAATCCATCATCATTGAAAAGCTTCTTACCAAAATTTTGGCTTGTCTTAGAGCATCAGCATCGGCAGCCACTGGAAAAGCCACATTCAGCTTTGCGTTGGAGGACAAAAACTCTCCAGTCCCGGTTGAGTAGCCCTTCAAGTTGGGGTTGAATTCCTTCAGAATATTGGGGAGAGTTAGAAAGTCTCTCCATGTGCCTTCACCTCCTGAAACTCTTCTCCTTACGGACTTTCCGTGGGTGAAACTTAGTATTACCTATGCACCAAGACACTCCTCTGTTTTCGATCATTGTCCCCAAAGCGTATTCTTCCATAGCGCCATTTCCTGCCACCAAAGAGTCCCCTAAAGCCCCAATAACATCGATGTCTCCAGGGCGCAGTTTGTGAACACTGGTAGGCCTCCGATGGGACCTCCCCAAGCCCACTCCCGTGAAGTTCTTGCACGGAAATGGCATCGATTTGGGGTAATTCAGTTGGATTCTCGAATGAGACCGGCTAGGGTATTGGATGACGAAATTCCCATTGCTCATCTGAAGGAACAAGGCCAATAATCCATGCAAATGAATGTGAATGTGAAATCCGCTGTTGCGGGTTTAATGTAGGGCGTGCATACTATTTAAATGTTTTAATGTTTGTTAATTACACATTGGCGTGGTCGTAGTTTTTAAATAAATTGCCATTGAATGGTTGTGTTTTTCGCGTCGAATCCGGTCCCAACACAAAAGCCCCGTGCTAGTCTAACACAATAAATCGGAGAAAGTGCTGTTGTGAGGATTTCTCAGAAATTGTTTGGTAGCAATGTAAAGCAATACGCGGCAGAATGTTCAAGAGAACCATGCAAAGGTGGTGCCGGCCGGCAGGAATTTCGTTTGCTTTGAAGGTATTTATAGCGCCACTTAGCGGACAGTAATGATTAAATGCACCAAAAAAGTACATTAAAAATCTCCCAACTTTGAAGCTGGAAGTCTGGCTCAGAAAATGCTCTTCTGTAAATATTGTTTGCGTAAAATGAACGTAATCTTCTGAGCCGTTTGATTTAGAACTTTAAGGCACTATTGGAGCAAAGCCAGGATCCGATTTGGACATTCGATATACAAATTTGGGATCTCGTAAAACATCGTACAAAGTCGGTTAGATCAGGTCAAAGTTGCACATTTTCATGCGAAACCCAATGGTGTTTTAAGCGTTGGAAAGCTCCTACTGCTTCCAGAAATTTCGCGAAAAAATCCCGAAATTCACTCAAAGGATTTTCCTTTTGCTGAGCTTATTTGGAGCGATATCTAAAAATAATTCTCACAGTACTAGAACAGCGTTTTGCTCCCGGCTCCCGGCTCCCGGCCGTGTGTGCTTCTACACTCAGATCGGGGATTCAACGTTTCGTTTTTGGCCCACCATAATCAACCTATTTTTTAATACGATCGTATTGGCACCGGTTTGTGCAAAAATTACAAAATTTACATTTCTCTTTTGTCCTTCCTGTAGAGTGCAATATAAAATGCAGCCTGAAAACGTAGTAATAGAAAATCAGCGCAGTTTGATTGAAATTGCCATTTATGAATTGTGTGGGCCGAAAGCAAAACATTAAATTCCCGATTTGATAATATAATTTTCAAGAGAGTAAAAAGATGTTTTTCCTATGATTTTCTTTCCTTACTGATTACTTCTATTTTTCTGGCGTATTTTGTGTGCGAATGATGTCATCAGTTTTTCTCTCAGTACCGTCAAAAATACGTTTTGAGAAAAAATCCTCGAAAAATGAGAGAAAAAAACAATGATTTGGTACTTTAAATACTCTTAAAAGGCACATGGCAATTCCATGCCACTCGGTTTGGTCGCAAAAAAATTGCTCCAAATAATTGAAAAATTGCCAACAAAAAACAAGAAAAGAACAGTAAAACTTTGGAAATCATTTCAGATGATAATAAAAAACCGTTTTGTGAGTTGGCTAATTCTATAAAAATTGTGCGTTACACCTTGTGAAATCGAAGAAGTTTTTGCGACTAAAAAAATGCCAACTTGTACATTGGAATATGATCAACAATCGGTCACGGCGCCAGGAAAAAGCCCATATAAAAAGTCTTCAAGCACACACTTAGAAAGATATGACGAAAATCGATCGAAACGCCCTGTTTATTAACGTTCTCAGGAAAGTCTTCCAAAATATCATCGTTCCTAGTGAACAAATCATCAGATTGAGTAAAATGCATTTTTGATCGAATCAAAATCACTCCATTTCCAGGACAAAATCACGGAAAACCTAATGAGAAGCGTACCAATCGAACTGTTGATTTGGGTTCAAGGAAAATCTTCTTGGAAATCACTTGAAAAAATAAGACAGCAAGAACTCAAATACCACAAAATGGGGCAAAGATGAACAATACGAATCTGGTTTGAATTTTAAAATGATTAATTTAAAGTATAACGTAGAAGTTTTTTCTACGTTTGAGTAGAGTTTGAGTTCTACCATTGAGTTTAAGCAAATCTGGAGTGATTTTGAGCAAAGAATGTCTTCCGAGTGGAGAAAATCCGGTTTAATATAAAAGCAACAAAGCGTTGATCATGAAGAAGCCTTTTCTTAAAAAACCGACAATTTGTTCAGTGCAAACACCCTTATAAAAAATCATAAAGCAAGGGTAAATAACACACTCTCAACGAAAATCGAACGACACGAACTGACGAAAAAATCACAAAAAGACAAAAAAATTTTGAGATATGGAAGGAAATGACAAAAGTGGACAGTGATTTAATTTTAAAATTGTTGACTAAAAAACATTGAACCAAAGAAAAGACGAACAAAAAGAAAAATCGAAGGAATATGAAACTAATTAAAAAAAAAACAGTCAGATTGTTGGAAATCGGTTGTGACTTAGGGAAAGCCCTGAACGTCGCAAGAAATGTCTTCTAAATGGGAAAAAACGTTTAAACTGTTCGTAAAAATCTTAAATAAAAAACCATAAATACGTAGACAAAAAATTAGCGCTCCACTGGATTCACCAGCTTAAAACACAAAATTAAATGATTATGTTCATTTCTCGAATTTTCCAACCATTTTTACTGACAACCAGTCGATTCAGCAGCTCAAAAGTTACTTCAATAATGAAAATCCGAAATTTAGACCGGTTTTTAAAAGGATAAACAAATTAACACGTTTTTTATATATAAAATCATTGGGAAACTTTCGCTTCTATTACGTTTCGGTTCTCGAACCATCCATCATCGGATCATATGCTATAAATGTATAGTTTTGATCTTCTCAGGTCAAAAATAACGCCAATTGGCTCAAAAAACACATGTATTTTGGATTAAAGATTGCCCAAGCTGCTTAAAGTGCTTAATTTTCAATGGACATTTTACCTCAATTGAGGAATGGAAGAATGCAACGGCTCAATGAAAACTGAACCAGAAACTAGAAAAATAGTGAAGCATTCCGAAGGCAAAATAGATTATTTTTTTCGCCGAAAATTTCATAAAACCGCAAGTGTTTTTTTACAAAATAGACTGCAATTTGCTTAAAACGCCGATTTACTGGCAAACAGACAAAACTGTGACGCTCAGGAATAGAGGAGCACAACCCAAAAATAACCGGAAATACGAACTCATTTTAACGTTATCCATATTGTGCTGGATCTTTAAGAAAAAATTCAAATCTACTGGAATTGAGATTTTTCCAGACTTACCCGAGTCATATCTTGCAGCATATTCAGGAACAATTGTCTAGGCTTGGATGATTGAGTGGCTACATGGTGGAGGAGCAGAATAGAGGCAAAAATCTTCGAAATTCTCTGAACCCTAACCATATTCTGCACAGCTACGCATTCCGGTTCGATTTGAGGTTCGTCTAAAACAAACCGGCAGTTTTTAAATTCTTGAGAGAAATCTTCAGCTGCGTCAGCAATATGAGTTCTTTTCTATGGTGTTTCTTCTCCATCTTAACACTTATTGAATAACATTTAATGTTGCATTCGATTAGTTCAGTTTGAGCATAAGTAAATCAATAGTGGGTCAAATTGTGCTTCGATAGTACGTAAAAAAGCAATTTTCCAGGCCCAATTAGCGATTATTAATAACTGATGGAACTTACCTTGATTATTCCATGGCGGTTAATTGCAACCATTTAGTTAAACACACGATTTGAAATAGTGTCCACGGACGTTGACAAAGTGCGGACAAAAGATTAAGTTAAGTTGCATTTTTAACGACTTGTCTTTTCCATGAGGCACGTAGTGGGAAAGTTCGGACATGGGACGACCGTAATACCGATATTGCACACATTACAAAATTTTTGTCTGTAGAATATTAAACTATTACCGGCTAACTGGCTTAAACTTTCTCGGATGGGTCATTTGAATAAAAATATAGATACACCCGAATTGACAATACACCTGCTGGTGTGTCTGGCGGCCTCCTTACATTACTTACTTAGCATATAGAGATTTATTGTCATTTTTTGCCGTCGTTAAGCCCTCACTTGCGCAAGCACTGCAAAAAATCCATTACCTCATTTTCTGTTTCTTAAATATGCTCACTAGAGCCTCTGGTCTATCAGTGTTTTCAACTGCCGCCCTCAAATAATTCTAATGAAAAACTTTGGAGGATTAAAGATGATATCGAGTAAACATCTATAAATATAAACTGAAGGGTTTCAATATCGGGCGTTTTACTTTGGCCACCCCGTTTTTACATCTAATTTGAAATTTAGGAGAAAAACATTAAATACAAAAGTTGCAGATAACAACGTCTAGTTTATTTTAAGATAATAACAATTGATGCAGGGCGTCTCAAGTTCAAGCCGCTGATCAAACTTACATTTTTTTTAATGGAATGCCGCACTTTTTATTGCATATTCGAACTATAAGCAAGTTCTAGAAGAAGAGAAATTTATAAAAAACTGTGCAACTTCAAGTGCAGTTAAACAAAAATTTGTAACTCCCAAATCACTTACATCGTCAAACTGAACTTTTTGCATCATAAAGAAAAAAGTTTTATCGAAAAGCGCACTAAATTTGACAAAAATTTTCACTTCGGTTGATTTAAAAAAAATTAAATTTGAAATTAAAATAAACCGTACAACTTGAACATCATGCCTTATGTTCGCTTTTCGACAGAAAAGCGGACATAAGCGGATTTTTCAAGATTTTTTAAACTAGACAGAAAATTAAAAAAGAAACGTGCAACTTGAAGAGCGGTTAAACAAAAATTCGTAACTTCCAAACCACTTACATCAACCAACTGAAATTTTTGCACCATAAAGGAAAAGGTTTTATCGAAAAGCGGACTAAATTTCACAAAGATCCCCGCTTCGGTTGATTTTTCAAATTTTTAAACTTGACGAGAAATTAAAATAAACCATACAACTTGAAGTGCAGGTAAACAACAATTTGTAACTCCCAGGCCATTTACATCATCAAACTGAACTTTTCGCATCATAAAGAAGTAGGTTTGATCGAAAGGCTGACTAAATTTCAGAAAAATCCTCAATTCTGTAGATTTTTAAAAATTTTAAAACTTGACGAGAAATTTTTTGAAGAAAAAAATCCGTAACTTCCAAACCACTTACATCAACAAACTGAAATTTTCGCACCATAAAGAAAAAGGTTTTAGCAAAAAGCGGACTCGATTTCACAAAAATCCCCAATTTTGCTGATTTTTTAGAAATTTTTAAACTTGAAAAACAAATGCGAAAAAACGCCCAAGTTTTAGTGTAATTGGCAATTAAAATTGGTCAAAGTTCGATCAATAAGTTTATTAACTCAAAACTAGTTAAACATAAATTACATTTAGCTCTATTGCTTTAATGTAGCTGTTTTTGCTACTTATTGTTTTCCATTTGATTGGAATTTGTATAAGTTTTAAGATGGATATGTTGATTTTAGATCCTCATAATGGAATATTAGCGATTCCATTTCGTACATTTGCTCAATATCAAGTGGGTTTTCTTGAGATACAGACTTATTTTCATTTATGATTTTCAACAGTTTTTTTTGTAAGTTTTTTAACAGTTGCAACGCATTATGCGTTAATTAGATAGTTAAATGGGTTCATTCAGCCCCCAGGCTAAGATTCCATAGCTTATAACACTGTTAAAGAGGGTATAATAAATAATTTGTAGAAAATAAAAGTTAGATATTTGGTTTTACTGACAATATACTCTCCCTCCCACTTCATATTACAATTAAAAACCAAACCAAGCAATAAAAATCGTGTCATTCCAATTAAAAAAATGTAAGTTTGGTCTGCCACTAGAATTTGAAACACCCTGTATCAGTTGGTATTATCTTAAAATAAACTAGACGTTATTATCTATAACTTTCGCATTTACATATTTTTGTATTTCTCTCTTTTGAAGAGTCACAACTTTTCCGTGCGTCGTTTTTTCAGATTTTTTGGCAGAAAAATTCACCCTTCTATCATTTTGAGGTAAAAAAGTTATTCTTATCAAAAGTCGCTAGAAACAACCGTTTTCGATATATTTCGATTGATGATCAGCAAGAGGGAAGATCTCAGATCAAAAAGGCGCCCCAATTTAAGTTTCTCCAGTTACAAATCCCCCCGAGTTGTGTCCAAATATCGAAATTGTATCAACAATTATTTAAAAAACAAAAAAAAAATTCTTAACATCCAGTAGCTGACAAATAAGTCCGCATGGATCCATGCTTGCTTTGGACACTTATTAAAAATCACTCTTAATCGCTTTTTTGCCTCTGAAGGCGCTCCAATAGAAAACGTTTAAAGGGGTCAAGTCTGGAGATATGGACGGCCATTCCGTGGCTGTTCATCTGTCAAGGAGTTGAGAAAAGCCACAGTTATAGTTTACAAAAATTGAAAACAAATCATCTCCTCCTAGTTTTCATTCAAATTTGGTTTCCTTAATTGTTTCCGCTTCTTTCCATTGTTACCTTAAGTACTTTTGTTCGCCTCGCTTCTCTCATCTGTAACATGATCGTGTCTTTGCGCCAAATGTTTCAAAGATAATTTACTATGATTGTATTCCCTTTTTAGCGCCTTCAACAATTCTTTAATTTTTGAGGCTTTTTATCTGCAAAAAATTACGTTTTCTTCAAGAATAACCCTAGGAAAATTTTTATAAATTCAGGTCAATTTCGCATTTATATCACCAACCAATTATAGTCCATTAACAATAAATGTTTCAAGCAATTAGCCGTTCAAATGATTACCTACGTTTACACAAAATCAGGTGTTTTGAATCAATGTGTTAAGGGTCTTTTTTATGACGCAAGTGATGATTATCTCTAAGTACTGTTGGTGCTAATCACCCAAAAAAAAATAGTTATCGTTTTTTTAGCAATTAATATTGAGTCAGTCCTCAACTGGATAACGTTGGTTTTTAGTCGACTGTTTTGGTTTCGCATTTATTAAACCTGCTTATGTTAATGGCTTCAATTGGAATTTAATTAAGAGAATCATAAATAATTGGATCAGATCAAAGTCAAAATAACAGCAGATGAGTTTCACTTACCTACCTATTGACAGTCGATTTGACTGGCCTTTGAAGGTAAGTCGCTCTAGTGGCTAAACTAAGAAGAAACTTCCAGTGAAAAATGGGTTGTAAATATTGCTTTCTTGTGCCTATTTTTCAAGGGACTTTGTATGTGATTGCGTTTAGCACAACGTAAGTATATGTAGTATTTGACCAGGGTAAAGATAAGAAAAGGTTGTCAAATTTGGGAAATAATTAGCTTAATTTTTTGCAAAACATTTATATTTGAGCTCTGTAAGACTGAAGCAGCAAGACTCCTTCATTTTATCTAACATTTATTCAATTCATTTGTATTCAGTCCGATATTTTATGTTTGCTTATGTAGCTTACCAGCTACTAAGGTCCACTTTTCTGATTCAGGTCTCCTTTTAATAGTTTAAATTTTCCGTTCAAAAGCCGCATTTAGCGCAATCAATTTGTAAACATCAGGAATTAACGAAATTTTAAAATATGTGCTTTCTCAGATGGTGTTTTATAAATTTGCGTTTTCAATTGACTGGAAAAATAAAAGTCAAATGGAGCCAAATCTGGAGGTCTTGCGGTCCCTTTCAATGCAAAGATGATCAGTTGCGTCTTTACAATGATTATTTCACACGTGCCATTGCATAACAATTTTCAACTAAAAGCAAAAATGGAATGGTTTTACTAATTCCCACTATCTAAACCAATATGAACTGTTTCTAACTGCCAGCTGAAGCCCTTGTGTACATAATTTGCAAGTATTTTCTTGGATTTAACGACGAAGCTGAAGGAGACAGAAATGAAAAGGAGAAAGAAAGACAGAAATGAAAATTCAATGAAACACAGAAAGAAGGATTAGAGCACATAAGAAAACTGGATTCAACCTTTGAAATCATAGAGGCACAACTAGAAGAATAATCTTGGAAAAAAAAGGGCTGGACGTCGAATACCTTTGAAGGAATTGAAGCGAAGTGATGGTTGAATTATATTAGAAAAACCTATCTTCAAAGAAAGATTTAGATGTTGAATATCAGGTGATTCTAGGAGAAAATCCAAAATTTAATGAAGAAACACTTGACGCACTGATAGAAGAAAGACATATCCGAAAGTGTTAGTTTTGCAATAGGAAAATAACTCAACCTTAGAGGAAATCGGAAAATGATTGAAGTCATGATTGAGGAATAAACAGAAGAAATATCTTCAAATGAAATTAGACGTTGCATATGAAATTTTGTGTGAAGAAAGAGTTTACGCAGATATAGAAGCACGATTTTTGGAGGAAACGATACACTTCAAATATGAGGTGGAATCAAGCATAGAATAAAGCCGAAAATTACTTAAACACATATACAATTAACATTTCCGAAGAAATAATTAAACGTTGAATAACATTTAGTTTCAATCCTAGAGAGAAAATCGAAAATTGGTGAAAAAATGATTTGGAGAGATCGATCGAAAAGAAAGAGAAGGCCAAACCTCGGAAAAGAAGAGAGTCGAAAATGAAATTATTGACGAGCTCGAAGCGAAAAACTAGTGAAGAAGCGATGGATGTAAGGCAAGAAGCGTCTTATATGTAGAAAGAGTCAGATGCAGAAAAGCAAAAGGACTCAACCTCAGAAGAAAGAACTTGAATTTAGAAGAGATCAGAAAATAAGTGAAGAAATTATTAAGACAGACATGACGCGAAAATTTCAGAAGAAATAATTCAACGTTTAACATGACTCTGGATTCAATACTACAAAGAAAATCGAAAATAAATGAAGAAATAATTGACGCCTGTTTGCAAAACTATTTTTCAAAGGAAGTGCTAAACTGCGGAAAAGCATAGATTGGAAAATTAATGAAGAAATTAGTGGGGCGCTCGAAAGAAAAGTTAGTGAAGAAACGATGGATGCACGGCTACAAGAATCATGTAAGCTCTGAAGAAGAGTCAAATGTAAAAAGCAAAACGACTTAAGTTTAGAAGAAAGTGGAAAATTAATGGAAAAATGATTGACGCATCGTAAAGAGAATAATTTTGGAAGAAAAAGTCAAACTTCGAACTTCACATGGACTCAAGTTTGGAAGACAATACTGAATTAATGAAGAAACGATTGACGTCCAAATAAAAGAAAGTCAGATTCGAATAAAGACTTAGATGTTGAACATGTATTGGTATGGAACATTGGCAGAAAATTGAAAATGAGTGAAACCTTGATTAAAGCACATAAAGGAAAACATATTCGAGATAAATTAGACGTTCAATGCAAGTAGATTCAATTTTGGAAGAAATAAAATCATGAATGCATAAATTATTGGCGCAAAGATAAAGTGCTATTTTCGAAGAAAGCGTTAGACTGTAAATATGTGGACCTTAAGTCTATTGCTGGTCTTGATCTAAAAAAAAGCGAAAATTAGTGAAGCAATAATTGCCGCATAGAAGACAGAATAATTTTTAAAAAGACTAAACTTCAGACTTTAAGTGAACTAAATTTTGGATGAAAAAGTCACTCAATTCTGAAAAAAAATTACTTTGAATATCAGGTGGACATAATCTTAGAAAAAATAGTCAAGGAGTGACTTGTGACAATATGCATATTGAGATGAGAGAGTTTTTGAAGAAATATTTAAGCTTCTCAAGTACATGAGGCTGAATCTAAAACAAATAAAATTACCAAACTTCTTGAAACATGCCAAAATGTGCGTAAGTGAAAGAAATAATTTATTGAGCTTAATTTAGAAGTAAAAACCATAGGAAATCAAACGCATAAAAGAAAATAATAAGAAAACAAATCTGAAACTGTTAATTTCTCGAACCAAGAAGCTAAAGTTGAGGCGATTCAAGTCAATATTGAGGGATTAGCCCCTATATTTTTTGCGGAGAAACCCCAAAACAATGTTCAATAAAATAAATAAAAATGCAGTCTAGTAGGAATCAAATTTATGAAGAAATAACAAAGTAACAGAAAAGGCTAAGTTTATAGAAGTAAATTTTCTGAGCATCCGGAAATGGAAACGGTAAAGAAATAGAAGTGAAGTTTCTTGATTCAGAGGGGGTTGAGATTTTGAGTTTTTGAACCACCGGGATATCTTCCTAGATGAAAGAGGAGGCACAAAAATTCCAGTAAACCGAGGAAAAGGGAGGTCCTTAGCTGATAAATGGTTCAAAAAACTTGAGCCCGCCCCCACTGAATTCATGATCCCAATTTTTCGTCTGCTAGATGAAGAAACTGTTCACCTTTTTCTTCTATAAATCTGCCAAATTGCCATGATGAAAATTATTAAAATGTTGCTATTTTCTTCTAGATTTCTGCTATCAGCAGTGATAAACAAGGACGTACCACTGATATTCCCCTACGTTAGCGACACAGGGGTCTGGTCAATAGAACGATGTATATTCTCTTTCGGTTTAGGACTCGGCTCACTTTTAAGTGAGTAGTTCAACATAGGTATGGGTAACACTGTGTTGAGTGGCGCTATTGAGTTGCTACCGCTCTCTGAGTTAACGATTTACGAGACCCGAGACTGGAATTTTCACATCTTAAAAAGGGTCAATAACATTTTTTGTGCGTAACGTTTTACTACTTTGTTCAAACAACTAAAAGAAAGTAATCTAGATGTTCCCAGCAACAGAACTGAGTCCAAAGAAAGTCGACGAGTTTTCTTGTAAAATCGATCTTATAATTTTTTTGCATACAAGATTCAGTTTGCCAGTATTTTACAGTAAAACTTTAGTTAATTATTTTACAGTTTTTCCGTTTAGAGACAGTGTTGTTTAGAAATATTGACGTAAAAGTGAAGAAGCACCAGTTTTGAAGAGTTTTCCAAGTAAATGATTTTAAACTTTCGCTTTTTCAGTTCGGGGATATATTTTTGGAAGACAGACAGAAAAGACAGAAATAATTATTAGGGTTTTGTCCATAATTCGAAGATGCAAAAAGTGTTGCAAACATTTTTGAAAAGCGATTGAGTGAAAAAACCACGTTTTTTTTAACAAACACTACAGTCTTCAGAGGTATGGAGGTGACCAAATTTCCAAATACTCTGTTATAAACTTTCGCTTATTCTGTTTGTTTTTTGATAGAAATTTATTTGATTTTTGTTCCAAATTCGAAGCTGAAAAGGGATTTCAAAACTGTTTACAAAGCGACGAAAAATTCGAAATTTATTTCATAATTTTTCGCGGAAAATGCTTTAAAATAGTGAGCACTTTTAAGTAAAACTTAAAAGTAAAAAAGTCACCAACATTTTCCCACCAACGGAACTGAGTTACTGCGCCAATGCGTTGGATTGACGCATCAAACTATTTGCATAGCACTGCGCCAACTCCTACAAATTCACTGAGTTACTCAGGCCTAGTTTAACAGTTACACAAAAATCTCCAATCGAATTAAAATGGAGAATTTTCCAGTGATTGCAACCATCTACATCAGATGCAGACAAGTAAAAGAAGTTCTGGAGTTGGCTGAGAGTAAAAATCTGAGTTCAAAGCTGAAAAAGTTGAACACAATTTCGCTCTTTCTGGGCATGGTGGCTGTGATTGGAGTGTTTATGTTGGGTTGTTTTCCTGTTCATCCATACATCGTGCCGCATCTGATCGGGGCTGGCGCAGCCTTTAATACCGGATTAATGGTCCTGGCGGCTCAGGTATGATTTGAACAAATTGCAAAGTTGTGGTCTATATCCGAGTACATTTCATACCTTTATTTCAGACCTACATTTCCTTGAAAATCTACCCCACTTTGGGCAACAAGACGCTAAACATCATCAGATGTGTGATGGTTTTGATACTCGCAGTAGCGCTGTGTTTATGTGTCATCTTCGGCGGATTGTCTCTTCTGCTGTTTAAAGGTACGCTGGAAGTTTGGGTGGACCTGGTCAGTCAGCTTCCAGAGATTTTCAGGTGACGATATCACGCAGTGGACTGCCGCCTCCGGAGGATACGTGTTTCACCTGATCAGTGTTGCTAGCGAATGGATTTTAGTGCTGGGAGTGATTTTATATCTGAGCTTGTATGCTGGAGAATTCAGGTCTATTGTATTGCATAAGCCAAACATGGACATAACAACAGCTTAATTTCGGAATCATTCTTGTGGTGGCTAAAAGATATTGAACTCATGGACTTATACAAATAAAGAATACGTATATTTAGTGGCACTTAGATCAGACTTAGGCTAAAACTCGTTTTTAAAATCAGCTGGCTGCACATAAGTGGCTGTGGTGGTTCGTCTCCTTGCCGCTGTCCTGGCGAAGTTCCAGCCGAGCCTTTGATTCAATTGGATGCTGAGTTTCCTAAACAGATTGTTGAGCTCATTGTGGACCTGCAATATTCACACAGTCACTTTTAGTAGGTGTTTCCCAGCAATCTTACCTCTGCATTGGCATAGCAGAAGAGAATGGCGACGAAGATCCCTTGGCTGGCTTCCATAGTGTAGCGGAAATAGTCGTAGATATCTTCCGCCCAGCAGGTGTCGTTGATGACGATTTTCTTCGCTGTGATGAAGATGTGCAGACCGAACAGGGGGATTAGGAACAATGTTGCCCGAAAAGCTGCCCTAGAATAGAAGAATAGAGTTCAGGGGGAGAAGACTGGACATTTTCAACATGGTCTCGCTTAGTGGTTTTCACTAACCCATACATTTTTTGGTGTCTCAACTGCAAGTTTGAGGTGTGACTCTTTTGCAACAAAATATCCTCCGTTGCGTTAATAATTTCTTCTCATTTTTATTTTCTTTCTAGGATTAAATCCAGGTGATAGTCAACGTTCATCTACTGTTCTTCGCCCATTTTTGCCTCTGTTGTAAACGCGAATCCACATCAAATTCGATGCCAGACGGTTTCTCTGGAAATCGTTATTCCCTGGGGCGTTAATAATTTTTCACAATTTGATATTGAACTTCTAACCATATCTGAAAATGTTTTTTCATTTGTGCCTCAGTCACATTTACACTCATTTTCCTTTTCTTTGAGCCCCTTTGCTTTTCTACATTTCACCCTTTTATGATCCTACACAAAGTGTCGTTGTTCATTTTGTGCTTCTTCCTTATTCCATGAAACACTCTGAGTCGATGCTTGGAGGGCAGGGACTGCAAATATTGCCTTTTGTAGATACGAATCCTCACTTAGTCGACTTCTTTACTGGAGGTTCATTTTTTTGGTCAAAAATTATTCTCTTTCTACTGGCCAATTATTTATTCCTTACTCATTTTCGATATTTTTTCTAAGATTTAGACCAGCTCTTGCTCAATGTCTATCTATTTCTTCTAAGCTAGAGGCCCTTATATCGAAGCCTAACGCTTTCTTCGGAAACGGTTCTTCTATGGTGGGCGTTGGTAATTTCTTCACTAATTTTCAAAATTTAATCTAGCTAATAGTCAAAGTCTAATTTTCTTCAAAGACATTGTTTTATTTATGCCTCAATCATGTCTTCACTCACTTTTAAATTTTTTCAGGTTGAGTTCTTTTGCTCAGATAATTTTTGTTTCTCTTTCAAAATCGGGCATTTACGAAAATAATTCTCGTTTGGATGCGTAATTCATTTCTTCACTTATTTTAGATTTTCTTTCTAGGAGCGAATCCAGGTGATGTTCAACGCTTAACTATTTCTCTGTAATGTTCGTTTCATGTGCGCCACAAAAATTTCTTCAGCCGTTTTCGGCTCTCTTCCAAACTCGAGCTCTTCTCAAATTAAATGTCTGCAGCTTTCTTCGGAAATGGTTCTTCTGTCCGACTGATTTTAGATTTCTATCAGTTTCTTCGAAAATGGCTCCTCTATTTGTGCGTCCATTGTTTCTTCACTCAATTTGATATTCAGCGTCCAACTTTGTTTCAAGATGTTTCTTCTATTTGTGCTTCAATCGCGCTCATGTATTCATTTACTCATTTTGCATTGTCTTCTGAGCTGAAATCCAACTCTTTATTCGGATAATTGTTTCTTCAAAGGTTTCCTTCCAAGTTTGAGTCCACCTGAAACTCAAGTTATAACTTTTCCTTTGAAGATAATTCTTCTTATATAATTCTGAGACCAAATTGGCGTATTCAGTTCTTCAAGATGCGGGGGTTTGGGGGTCAGAACCATCATGATCAATTAGCTAAACCTTGAGCAATTTACTTCTTACCGCTAGACAGCGATTTTCAATAAAATCTACTGGGTGTTTGCCTAAGAGTGGTCAATGGCCAAATTTCGGAAAATACTGGGCCTGGAAATTTAAGGAGAAAACTTCCGTGATTAAAGGGGCGATGGCGATGGGAAAATTTTGAAAATTATTTTTAAGTTCCGCATTTCACCACAAGGGGGCGAAACTGAAGAGGGAATATGAAAAACACAAATTTTCAAAAAATCCTCAAATCGCGGCATATTTTTAGTTAGTAACACTGTTAGAAAGCTTTTCCTATTTTGCAAAAAAAATAATTCAAGGCGCATTGACGTGCGGGCGTTAATAAGAGTGGGGGAAGCCTTTGAAATTGTTCACATTTGCATCGCTGTAACTTCTAAATTGCTTTCGCGATTTGAGTAATTTTGAGCTTATTTTGAAAAGAGGTGTTAGGACTTTGCATATTTGTGCCGAGTAGAGCTCGATAGTTCCCAAACCACATTGCGAGAGCGCGTCATTTGGAGCAGAAAATTTTAAAATTTTTCATTTGACTATAACTCTAAAACGAACATCCAGATTGAGCTGCGGTTTACTATTTTCTTTTAAAATATTTTATCTGTATTTTGACTATGATATCAACTTAAACCTTCAAGTCAAAATTTGGGAGGGAAAATCAAAAACCTGTTTTTGTGACAAATTGTGCCTTCCAGCACTGAGGTTCAGTTGATCGAGGTTTACTCTATGCGACGGTAGACAGCCCAAACATTTCCCTTTAAACCAAGCTTAAAATCACTGAAATCGGACAAGTTCTTTACAAGTCGCAGCGATTTAAATGTGTACTTTTACTTAAGTGAGAACATGATTTATTTATTTATTTAGAGACGATTGTCAGTCCAAATCAACTGCAAATAGATATTTGCAGAGATAGAAGTTTATTTGAAATAAATTAGCAGGAAATCAATATTACTAGCTAAGGAGGCCAATAGATGGACATTTTGCTTGTGTAGTTTTCCCCACTACTTTTACAGTTTAATGTTTTTAAATTCCTTATTGCTCATTAAATTGCTTGTAAATTTACTCAAAAAGTATTTGGGATAGAACATGTAATATTCCAGTTCATTTGTTTGTAAATATACGACAATTGACTATTAAAGTGTGTATTTCCCTTTGTAGTTGCGGAGCTCAGAATGTCATTCTGAGCCGTATTGTAAAACTAGGAGAAAATTTTGAGGGTTTAAAGATTGACGCCAATTTCACCCAGCAAGTGAAAGAGATTCTTCACCATTCCAGCAGTTTTAAGAACTTCGTTTCGTTTCAGCTCCGTAAATCCGCCATAATTAGGTGATTAACCACTTATTCGAGAAATGTTACTCCAATCGATTCTATTCACCGTTTCTCCATGTTTCTTGGCGACTAAACCAACCTTATCTGACGACTCTGAACCCTCACGTACTTTTACGCACATTTCCATACGGAAGAACCAACCACGCGATCCCTTCGGCCCTTTAATTGCTATTACCGGATTTGTACGTTTTCCTGGGATTTCACTGGTAATTTTAGAGGCAATTTTGATTTTTTTTCAATTATTGTGGTACCATGTAGTTAACTAGTGTCCTAATCTGGATGATTCAACATGACTGAAAAACGGACTTTTGCAGCTAATTACAGAATTTTCAAGCTTTAGAAATTCCCAAAGTCAATGAAGTTACAAGTCAATTTCTCCGGCAAACTTTAAAATTTCAAATGTTAATAACACTTTAGCTCAAATCGAGCTCTTTTGCTCATCGATTTCGGATTTTACAAAAAACTGAAGAAATAGAAGATAATTAGTCTTCAAATTATATGCCGAAGCATTCGAAAGTCCTGAAGTTAATGAAGCTACAAGCGATTTTATCCGACAAACTTTTAAATTTGAAACTTCAGCCATCGTTTAGCTCACACCGTGCTCTTGTGTTCATCGACTTAATATTCTCCAAAAATGGACGAAGGAGAAGATCTCTATGTTTCAAATGAAATTTTGAAGCTTTAGAAATTTCCAAAGGCAATGAAGTTACAAGTCTATTTCTCCGGCAAGCTTTAAAATTTCAAATGTTAGTAACACTTTAGCACCGAGATATTTTGTTCATCGATTTCAGATTTTACAAACTGAAGAAAAAGAAGATGATTATTCTTCAAATCACATGCCGAAGCATTCGAAAGTCAATGAAGCTACAAGCAATTTTATCCGACTAACTTTTAAATTTCAAACTCATCCATTCTTTAGCTCAAAAATTAACCCTGTAACTCATCTGGGGTGATGGTCATTAATTGTTGAATAAAAGTCTGAAAATTAGGCCAAAATTCAACCGGTAAAGTGCGCTCTCAATTTGAAAATTTGTAAAAATTGAAGAAGAAATTGCGCAAAAATAGCATTTTCGGATTGTAAACTACAGTATTTTGTGCTAAATTGCACTGAAATTTACGCCCTGGCTTCTATTCATCTGTTCGTAATTCACCTTAGAAGTGACTGAAAATTTGCTAAAATGGGAAGACAAAGTGTGATCGCCAATTTTGAAAAATGCTCAAAAATTTCTTAAAAACTTTCAACAAAAAAACATTATAAATGTATCTGAACTGATGTTTGCCCTGTAAAATAGCGCAAAAATTAACTCTTCAACTTACATAGTTTGGAAGTAATTCATTGTTGAATAGAAGTTCAATAGTTCAACGCCAACATTTAACCGGAAAAGTGCCCTCTCTACATATTTGGGAAGTTGCCAAAATTCAAGAAAAAAATTGCGCAAAAATTGTTGGAATTGGTTAACTCGAGTATCCAAGAAAAAACTTTCAGCGAGTTCCCCCATTTTTACCAAAGCGCATACGTCAATGAGCCATGAACAAAAAAGGCACAAAATTGAGCAAGGTTTCCAACGACGTCACTTCAGGTATACCTTGAGATTAATGAATTCTCGGAGAAATTTATGTTTTCAAAATTAATTTTACAATGAAACTATCTCCAGTTGTTTCCCACAGGCTTTTTACTGATAAAATTTTTAACCGCGAGTTTTCCCAGTTTAGTACTGAGTACGAGATATGGCCGGTTGCCACCCATTAGTCGGCAAATTTTCTTTGAAGCCAATCACTCTAATCAGCAGGAGCCATGAGTTCTTTGATGTAAGCGCTCAATTGATAATGCTGTTGACTCACTTTGTTTGCCTGGTGGTTCCGCCCTGCTTCATTTTCGATATCATCACCCGAACAATGTCCAGCAATAATACGGTGTTGATGAAGAGAATCACCATGCGGAAACTGTCCACTGACCATTGCTCTCCATTGGTGTCCACCATCCAACAGGACGTGCGTTCATTGGCCGCCACTATGCTGGCCCAAATTATCGAAGGCAGAAACGTGAGAACTGCCAGAAGCAAAAGAAATGAAGAAATGAATTATATTAATTCAACATCTTACCTGCCACAAGACTGTAGAGGAAAACGAGTGGAGGTTCTTTGGCAAAAGTCCTCACTATCACCTTATGCAAGTAGTAGCCATCAACCATCATGCAGGCATAGGTGGAATTGGTGGCAGCGCTAACAAAAAAGGACAAAAGCCTGCAGCCAACAGGATTATTATCCATCACCTGGTTGCTGGCTGTAGGCGAAAGTAGCGCATCGATAATAACGATTTTTTTGGCCATAATTGTGAGGACATTTCTGATCACGATGGAGATCAGCAGGTTGCGATGCAGGATCACCCTGCTGTTGTCTCGGAAGACGGGAATGGCCAAGAAGATCAGAATTGCTGGCAGTGAGCAGACGATACAGACGTATAAAGCTGAAACGTGATAGTTGTATCTGGCCAAGTAAATAGAGGCAATGGCACAGTTGGAATAATCGGTCTGTTGGTTCCATTCAGCCAGCTGGATGGTTTCGTTAAACTGGCAGCTTTTTTCGCTTTCTACTGTGGGAATTTCTATTACTAATATCTCAAATCACTCAATTATTTTTTTACTTACAAGTACAGACTTTATCAGGAGATTGGTAGGCCTGACTACTACAGGGCAAGCTCTGGATGGTGTTTACTGCTGTTTGGGGAAAACACGACCAAGCGTCCCAAACCACTGGGCAAAAATCTGCAGCTGAAAATGTCCATCGGTTATTCCAACTCACAAAATGCACATTTTCCACCACTTACTGCTAACAATATTTTCGTTGTTCATTGCGTTTGTGCAGCAATCTTCAGCCTCTTCACAGCACTTGACGAAATTATCGAAAAGTTCATCGGTTTTGAACGATTTTCGCAATAGAGCCGCTGATTCCTCATGCTTGTAGTCGAATAAGGCGATGGTAGTGTTGTCCACCTAAAGCAAGGTCATAAAGTGAAGACTCTTGGGGCAGGTTCCAGACACTTACAACAGCTGCAGGTACGGGTCGATGGTAAATGGTTCCACTGCAGTTGACATATTTAAAAGTGGCATTGAACTTTTGGCTGAATCTTGCACTGTTTGTGTAGTTGTAGCATAAGTAGCCAGCATAGTGGTTCCAAATTGGTTGTGCTAGCAAATTTCCTCTAATGGAACATGCTTTCGATTCATCCTAAATTGGGGTAAAATTGAATATAATTGAATATGGAAAATGTGGGCTGCATATAAGGGGCATCCAAATGATATGAAGAGTTCGCATTAAAAAAGGTTTTCTTCTTTGATTTGGAAAAATTGGAGAAACTGAATTTCATATCAAGATTGATATCCACTGAATGTTTTTCAACAATTTTTTACTTCATTTTTCATAATAACCATGGAACAGCATGAATCCCAAAATCTAGTACACCGTTTAATTCCGATTCCGGAAACAAATTTAACAACAAATTCCGATTTTTGCGTGTCTTGTAAAAGTTAGTACTTTGCAATCTAAAGCAAGTGGCGATTGAAAATTTAGATATTCTATAGCATACGCATGAATCTCAAAATCTAGAAAATTTCATTTCATTGAGCGAATTATGATTTTTGAATATGTTGTAAATGTGGGTCCAAAAACAAACGTTTTCCAGCAACTGCGGGCTCTTCGATAAAAATTTGTAGGTTGCAATCGAGAGCAAGTGGCGACTGGAAATTTGCACCTTCTATAGCATGCGCATGAATCTCAAAATCCAGGAAAATTTATTGAATTGGCTGCTAATTGAGCTTTTTGTACATGTTGTAAATGTGGGTCCAAAAGCAAACGTTTTCCATCATCTGCGGAGTCTTCGATAAAAAATTTTAGTTTGCAATGTAGAGCAAGTGGCGACTAGAAATTGGCACATTCTATAGCATAGATACGCATGAGTCTCAAAATGCACCAAATATCATTTAATTAAGTTTTGATTTTTGCGCTATTTGTAAATGTGGGTTCAAAAGGAAACGTTTTAGAGCAACTGCGGACTCTTTGATAAAAATGTTTACTTTGCAATCTGGAGCAAGTGACGACTGGAAATTTGCACATTCTATAGCATACCCATTAGTCTCAAAATCCAGAAAATCTCATTTAATTAGCAAGAAATTCTGATTTTTGCACCGTTTGTAAATGTGGCTTCAAACGAAAACGTTTTCTTGCAACTGCGGACTCTTCGATAAACATTTGTGGTAAGTGGGTACTGGAAATTTGCACATTCTATAGCAGACACAAGTCTCAAAATACTGAAACTTTAATTGGATTGGCACAAATTCTGATTTTTGCGCCTTTTGCCTTTAATTCAAAATGAAACGTTTTCCAGCAACTGCGGACTCTCTGATAAATTTTTAGTTTGCAATCTAGAGCAAGTGGCGACTAGAAATTTGTACATTCTATAACAGACGCAAGAGCCTCAAAATCCAGAAAATTTCATTCAATTAGCAATAAATTCTGATTTTTGCGCTTTTTGCAAATGTGGGTTCAAAAAGAAACGTTTTCTAGAAACTGCGGACTTTTCGATAAAAATTTTTAGTTAGAAATCCAAAACAAGTTGCAATTGGAAATTAGCACATTCTATAGCAGATGCATCAGTCTCTAACTCTAGAATATTTCATTTAATTGGCAACAAATTCTGATTTTTGTAAATGTGGGTTTAAACGAAAACCTTTTCTAGCAACTGGGGACTCTTCGATTTCACTTTGTAGCAGACGCTTGGGTCTCAAAATCTAAAAAAAATATCTAATTTGCAATAAATTCTGATTTTTGCGCCGTTTTTAAATTTTCATTAAACGTCCTACTTGAAGAAATATTTTTATATGAACTGTTCATACTATTTTGACACTCTGTATGCACTTTTCCAAAATCATGCCCACATTTATATCCTAAAACTTTATGTACTTACGTATCCAGTTAAGCAATAGTCCAACGTTCCATTATTGGGCAAAGCTGTCTGAAAAGAAACAGTTTTTTTTATAGTTTTAATACGATATCTTCCAGATCTAATGGATTGAAAGTACCAAATGTTAACAACTTTGGAGGCGTTTTAAGAGACAAAGTGCTACAAAAATCGTCTTGAGTCTGTCTCACTTGAAAGTTGGGAAGATTTGGTGGAATTTTAGCTGCAAGTTCTATACCAACCTTGCATAATCCTGCCGATTGTATACTCAAAACTCAAATCGCGGTAAAACCTCAACTGTTGGGCTCATTTTCAAACTGCGCCGTGGATTTTTAGCTCAAAATCCACATAGTAAAAAACAGAAGAAATCCAGTTTACTTTTTAATCGGGCGCTCGATGTATTAACGGTAGATCAAGTGAGAAAAACGCACCCAACGAAGATCAGTAAAGCCATAAATTAACGGTTAATTGCTCTATAAAACCGACTTTGCCAACTAATTAATGTTGCTCGGTTGGTTACATTTACGGTTTAGTTTATTTTGGAAATGTCCCAGATATGGTTTATATGCATAATGCACTCGAAAACCTACTCGGGGAGCGAACGTTTTTTCATCGCCTTTGCAAATATATCGAGCAAACACTTGAATGTTCTTTGATAATTGTGGGCTTTCCGCTTTAATTAATATTGTCTAGATTCACTCTAATGTATTTGAAGGTGTTTTGAACAATTTCAGTCAATGTTTATAATAAAAATTGGCCGCACCCTTTAATCGGTTTGAGTCACACTGAAGATTACTTCAGTGCTGAGCTGAAAAAATCTCTATAGACCATCGTTTTCCCCGAAAGCTGTGGAAAAGCTAATCAACAAAAGTATCAGATATGCGGTTCTTATCAGAAACAATTCATCCTCAGAAACAGAAAAATCTTCCAAATGTGCATTCTCTTGGAAGTATTTTGCGAGTTCTTTGGAGATTTTGAGGTCTGAAAGTTTAATAATTTGCTGATGAGGAAGTCATAATCACATGTATTTATGATAGTCGTAACGAGTGCAAAATACAAGCGAAAATCGCGGATTTATGTGCCCCCGAAACGACCATTCTGGGCCTTTTTTTTGCAAGCAAATAATTGCAAGATTTACGATGTCTGGCGCAACATTTCTCTTAGCCTAGTTCTACTTACGATTTTGCATAAACCAATGAGAAACGCAAAAAATCGCACCACTTCACTTCTCATGTTTCAATCGTTCTTTATAAATGGATTAGCGCAATACATAAATCTGACAATGGGGATTAAGGATTGGAATCGTTTTAATCTTATCGAAATTCCGCATGTTTGATTTGAACTTAAGATTTGTAATATTATCTTTAGGGAAAATATTTACGTGTATTTTATGACACTACCGAATTGATTATCCCCGGCATTATATCCGGTTCTTGTTTATCGTCTAAGCCAAATATATCCGTTTTATGGCATTTTATATGGGGATTGGTTCGAGAAATGTATATAAGAAATCCTAGTTTACGCCTGAATTTATTATATTATTTTATCAGGTCGGCAACTTGATTTATACGCTGGTCAAGGGCTTCTGGATGATTCCTTACTCAAAACAACAAAATAACAGCCTCAATAAAGAAAAATCGCAAATTTTCACTTTTACCAACACTCTGCTGGTTAGCTATTCAAAAATAAAAAATTGAAACTCAAAATAATGCTCCGGCATTTAAGAGCTGCTTTACTTTTGGAGATTGAATGCTCCAAAGTTGAGACTGCCGATGTGTAAACCAATTCCCAAAAATTCACGCGAACTCCCAGAAATTTTCTGTGTCCGGAAAACTTTTGCTGTTTATAGCGAAAAGTATACTCTTTCTATTGGTGTATGAGTCATTTCTGTAGCTCGTTCAGTTTTGGTGCTAACAATTTTTGAACTTCAACCTGCCAAATATTGGTTAGTGGCAATCGTAGTTAGCAATTTTCTATACAATCTTTATAGCTGGCAGAGAGCTGAGAGTTTGGAAAACTTACCCTAATCATAGAGCAAACGGTGTTCTTTCGAGTGCAGTAGCAAATTTTTTTAGTTACTTTTGTTGAGCGAATAAAATTTTTTGAAATTGTCAAAAAATCGGTAGTTAGAACGCCGAAATGCAAGATATTGTCCAAAAAATTGAAAGTTTAAGAAAGCTTCCAGAATTTATAGCAAAAAATGTGTTCCTTCGGCCATCATTAGAATGCTGATATACCAGAAATTTTCAGAAAATCAATCTATTACGAAAAAAAGCTACGATTTCTGCACAACACTAGAGGAAAATAACTAAAGCCATGTTCTATTGGTGTAACAAGTATTTACGTTTCGTTTTGGAGTCAGGATTTTTTGAAGTTAAGAATGTCAAACATTGTCTGTCGGATGGTAAACTTGCAGGTTATTTTTCCAGAAAATTCTATCAATTCCTAGATAATGAGCGATTTAAGGCAACTTTTGCACTCTTTTGGAAAACATGCACTTTTTCCATTGGACTAATTGGCATGGCTCTGCCGTGTTCAGTTTTGGCTCCGTTAATTTTTTAGTGGCCACTATAATGCATGTAACAAATTTTTAGAAAACTCGTGCAAACTGAAGAAAAACTGGCATTTCTGCAAAATCTTTAGGAAAAATGTACAAAATATCATATTTCCAATGATGCAACAGATATTTCCATGCTTCGTTTAGTTTTGAATACAATATTTTCCGAAATGAAGGCTCCCAAAAATCGGTGGCCAACGGGCAGATTTGCAAGCTGTTTTTAGAAAAAATACCTTCATCTCTAGGAAATCTCAGCTTGCATTGACTCCTTTGCAATCTATAGCAAAAAGTGTGTTTTTATCATTGGCGTAACAAGCATTACTTTGGCACGCTTACTTAAGCACGAATTTTCTTGCAACTCTTGAGGAGAATAGAGAAAAGTATACTCTTTGCAGTAGGGTCCAAGGCATGTCTTTAGCTCGCTTAATTGGGGAGCTGGCATTTATTTAATTTGGACTTGCCAAAGATTTGTCCTCAGATGGCAGATTTGCAGGCGATTTGTGCTCTTTCGAGTCTTGTAACAAGAGTTTTTTGTTCAAGTTTTCTTTTTGATTTAAAATTTTCTGAAAAAAATTCCGTCTACTTCTGGAAATTTAAACTTCGAAAGACACTTTTCTATGTCTAAGAAAAAATGTGCGTTTCAATCTCGCAACTTCCAGCATTCAAGTACATTTTTAGCATTTTAAACTTAAACCTGAAAAACATTAGTAGTCAAAAGGCAGATTTGCACACTATTTTTCTGAAAAGTCTCATAAATTCCAAAAATTTAAGATGTCCAGAAAATTTTGGTGATCCATCAGTAAAAATATGCTACGTACAATGCAGTAAAAAATGTTGGTGGCTTGTTTATTTTTGGAATTAACATTTTCTGAATTTGAACTTGATGAGCAATGGCTATTAAAATGGTAATATTCATAAACTTTCACTTGACTCAATAGAAACTCAGATCTAAGCAAAATTTGCGCAAAACATAGAAAAATAATTGCTCTTTCTACTACGATGAAGAATGGCTCAAACATTTTTATTTTGGAACACTAAAAATTTCTGAAGTTAGACCTGAGAAACCTCAAGAATTGCTGCGGATCGAGTAACAGGGTCCAAATAACCACTTGCCTCAAAAATTCGTCTCTAGCCATAAAAAACTGCGATTTTATTGAAACCATTGCAAGCTATAGAGCAAAGTATGCTCTTTTCAGTGAGGCTCGAGCCATATTTCTGGCACAGCCGGTTTGGAGTCGACAATTTTTTAAATTGAATTTACCACACATTGTGTATGAGAGAGCAGATATGCAGGCAATTTTTCAAAAATTTACCTGAGTCATACCAAAATTGGGAATTACGTGGAATAAACGGCGGAGATAGATAAAAGTGGGTTCTTTCCCGTGCCTGAAGAAGAAGGCGAGTAGCTTGTTTACGTTTTGAGGTAGTATTTTCTGAAGTTCGAAGTTGGTCCTATTTTGCAACCATTTTCGCATTTGGTGGATTTGCAACCAGAATTTTAAATTTCTCACTCAGCGCAACAAAACTTGGGTTTTAAGGAGATTTACACGAAATATGGGAAACAATACGTTCTTTCTAGCGCTGTAAGAAGGAAGCATCGCTTTAGCGCGCTTAGATTGTGACATATTAATTTTAATAAGTGACTTAGAAAACACTGAGTTTTTTAAGGTGGATTTGCAACCACAATTTGAAAGTTTTGGGTCGGCGCAATAAAATTGGGATTTCAAAGAGACTTAATAGAATATGGAAGAAAACACGCGCTTTCCAGCGGAATAGCTCAGACCACCCTACCTGGTTTCAATTTTGATGCATCATTTTTTTAAAGACGATCTTATTAAACAGCGAGTTTTAGAAGGAAAGTTTTGCATCCAAAATTTGACTCTTCCTCAGCTCAACAAAACCTGGAATTTCGATGAAATTTTCACGGAATATGGAGCAAAAAGCGCTTTTTCTGCTGGCATAACAGGCATCACTCCAGCTTGTTTAGGCTTTGAGATTTTATTTTTTAAAGTTCAACCAGCCAAACGGCGCTCGCCCCAAGGCATCAGAATTTTAAATAAAAAATAAAAAAAAGTCAAATAAAGCAAAATAAGGTATGAACTAAACCGTGATTATTTAACGGCACTGACTCTAAACAATCAAAAACTGACGTGATTTGTATGTTTTCCTCTATACTGTTAAGTTGAAAGCAGTCGCTACTGAAAACTTTGAATAAATCTTCAGTTCTGTCCAGAATCATTTAGCAGTGATTACTTAAGTGCTTTGCAAAAAAATAGTTGGTCTTTTACTTAAACTATCATTTGAAACACTTACATTTTCATTGAACCGCGTTAAAATCAGGAACACAAAGCCGATGAACACTTTTCGAGCGAAAGCGAACCATTGCATTTTAACAGTCTGGAATTCTGGAACAGTTTGCCATGCACCCACACGCATACAGACACAATCACTTTACTTTATCAGGCAGCTTTATGCGACTGATTGAAAACGGTAAACAAATTCGGAATTAATAAACGGCAATCTAATCAAACATGGGTGGGCACGTTTGTTTGAGGAAAACCGCACTCAAAAAAAGCGGGCAACGAAGACGTGCACAAAGGTGCCCGCGTTTTTGAGTAATTAGTTTTGTACGCACCGGAGGCTACTATTTTTAGATCTAGCGGTCCATGTATTATCTAAATAAAATTCGTTTTATGGCACTTATATTTGGTTTTTGTTAGTTAAATATACAGTGAAGGTTCATCTCGCGCAATTTTGCCCGAAAGATAATAAATGCCTCTAAACGAGTCGATCGCATCGGCTGCTTTAACGTAAACGATTTGTTCTATAAGTTGATGAATCACTTATCGCAGTAACATAAACCCATTAAAAGCCTTTTGACTCAGCATGCCGATGAAGATCAGCCGAGCCGGTTCATGCTTTAAATGCAGAGCTGGAACCTTTTGAATCCTTAAGAACCCTTCAAACTGACAACAGAAAATCTGTTCCATTGATCAAAACAGTAAGAGTAAAAACCACTTTCAAACATTTTTATTGACGGGCAACGCAATTCCCTTAAATAAGAAAGTAGAAGATTGGAAAAATACCTATAAAACTCCCTTCAATTCCCCTAAAAACTCTATAGACTGCCGATGATAAAACCGTGCTTCTTGGCATTCTTCTCCATAAAACCGGCGCAACTTCTGCAGCACAACCTCCGAAAACCCTTCAGCTGGCAGTAGCGCTGCAGCAGATTAAAACCGCAGTACTTTGACTCGTCCTGTTTGCACTCCCTCAACTTCCTCCCTTTGCACAGCGGGTTGCTGGATCGGGTAAAGTTTCCGGCGCAAATCTGCCTTTGAGGTGGCGGAGGTTCCCCGCAGGTACCATCATCCAGAGCTGGACAGTACGCTGTTCTGGAGCTGATGCCAGTACCGCAACTAGCCGAACACTTAAGCAAAGGAATTAGCATCTGATATTTGGTCGAATGATTTAATATTTTGCAAAAAATGGGTGTGAAGATTTGTGCAAAGAAACTGGAGAAGATTGATGATGGAAGAGAAGAAAATATAGAAATACCTCAGACCATTGGCTGTACTGCCAGTGGTACAAGCAAGGAAACCGATTGCAATGCTTGGAGGTGGCTGGGGGACTCGAAATGCACCTCCTGGGGCTAACCATGTACCTCCAAACCTCCTCCAGTTCGCCTTGAGATTTTGCACTTGGCACACAGTAAACCTCCCTGCTCTGCATGCCCAGGCTTCCGCAGGTGGCGCTGCAGGGTTCCCAGCCTCCCGCCACCCATTGGAACTCGCACCTGAATAACTTGGCTTTCACCCAGTGGGAAACTCCCAGCAAAACTCACCCAAAGTTGTTGCAAGTTTCCGTTTCCATTGCCGGCTTTTCCAGCAAAGAGCAAAACTTGCGTTTTACGAGTTTGGCGTTTTGGTTGTCCCAACAGGCGGCGGTTTTTTGGCGCTTGCCTCCTCCGCAACTTCGGGAACAGGGACCCCAACCTCCAATGATCCAGATGAATTTGGTTGACGGCACCATGTAGTCCTTGTGGATGGAATATTGGGAGTTGGCCGACACGTTTATGCCCTTCAGGGCCTGTTTTGCTGAGGAAATGATCTGGAAACAATCAGAGAAATTCGAATGGGGGAATTAAGGAACTCATCAGGAAAATCAGGAATTTTGAAGAAAAAGCACTTGCCATAATTAGCAGCTCTGCCAGCACCGGGCCAATGGCCCAAATGCTATGAACACCTCCATCCTTTCGGTAAAAAAAGTGTGCACCTTCCACCACTTTTGAATTCGGCACAGTGTTGGGGATAGCGACCGCATAACCCCGCTTCTTCCGGTTCTTCAACACAAAAGCAATGCTGGGGGATTCTTTTTGCGACCTGTCCTGGAAGGAGACGTTGGCCTCCAACTGAATATGCCGGGCCATTCTGGGGAACACCGCGATCTTCTTCACTTCTATAATTCGGGACTTAGCTGACGGTTTAAACTAGCAAGAAGCGTTGAACCTTTCTTCATTTTCCTCCTTAGGAGAATGGTGGTTGTGTTGCATTCAGAGCCGTCGCCTCCACAGGTTCCGCACCTGTCCCGAACCACGGTGGAGCTCAGCTGGCCGTCGCAACCAATCAGGAGGCACTTTCCCTGCAAATCACTCTCTCTCAACAAAAACCCTCCTGCACAACACTTGCGCTAACTTGGATGCAAATTTTGTCCTCATCTTCATAGGAGCATGGCGTGCCATCTGGCAGGTTTTCCTCCAGGGTGAGAATCTCTTTGCGCTCATCACTCATGCAGGAAAACTTGCATTTACTTTCCTCTAGAACAAGCCACATGTAGAACACTCGTTAGAACAAATGGGGCTTGCTGGTACCTTCGAGACTTTCGTAGGGCAACCAGGTGTCGCTGGTGCTAGTGAAACTGGCGTTGAGGATCCGGGGCAGCATTTCGCACTGTTGGGCCCTCAAATCCACAAATTGGTTCTCACAGGCCGACTTGTTGCAGAGACGATAGTCTTCGTTGGAGCCTTCACAGTCTTTTCCTCCGAACGACGGCCTGAAACCACATTGTTAAGGTTTATTGGAAGCCCTCTAGTAGACGTGCTTCTGCAAGACTGTAAGTCTGCAAGTTTAATTCTTGCTCAAAGGAAAGTCTTACTTGGGATTATCACAATTCCTGTATCGATACTGCACCCCTACGCCGCAAGAACGCGAGCAGGGACCCCACAAGCTCCACTCGCTCCATCCGCCATGCTGGGGATTGAGGAGCACCGGCACCTGGTCGGGCCTTTGGGGAATTTCGCTGCAATAACCATTCAGGCACCACTACCAATTCTTAAGGTCATTGGCAGGAATAAAAAACTGCCTCAGTTGCCTACCTTAGCAAATCCGCATTCAGTCCCCTCCAAAGGAGGACCTTTTTTGGTCTTGCACACCAAGGGGGAGTCTTTGTGGCCGCACCATAAGTGGGAACAAGGCTCGATTATGTCGAAGGCTCGACACATTAAGTAGCTGGAAGAGGTACTGAAGTAACAGAGGATTTTTGAGGCATTAAACATGTTTACCCTTCCCCGAACTCCATCCGGCATTGCTCGTCCATGCTGAAAACCGTTTGGAGGGTGGCATTGAGTGGAATTTCCCCATTGGAGCGCGGCGCGTTGAATAAACAAGTCCAGTTGCTGCAAGCAGGAAATTTTGATTGGGTAAAAGGAGGAGATTGGGTTGCATACCCAACTTTCTGCTTGTACTCCCTTTGCGAGCACTTTGACCAGGAGAACTTGCTGAATGTGGCAGACACCATCGCTGCCATCACGCTTCCGTCTGCTGCATCTTGCTCACAATCGTTCCTGGCCTTTTTATCGCCATCATGGCTTAAACCCAACCTGACACGAAATTTCCTCTTTAGTCACTAATACATTTTGAGCACCAGTCACTCACATGTGAGCCATTTCATGGGCGATAATAAAAGCACTGGTTAGGCCTTCGTCCTTGTTTAGGGCGCAGCTCCTTTTAGGGTCACACACCCCTCCAACAGGGGCATATCCAGACGGGCCTCCAATGTCAGATCTGGAAACACCCGGAACATGTTAAAAACGCCAACTTACAATGCTGCAATGTTCAGACCTAGTCAGCCAAATGGCAACATCGTGCCTGGGTTGTCCAGGTTTCAGTTGAGCGTGCAGCTTCCTGTTCCAGATATTCACATTTTCCAGGGATTTTTTCGCGTTTCCAGGCCGCACTACTCCGTGCTTGCTGTGCTCGTAGAGCAACAGTCTGGCAATCACCAGCTTAATGTTGGCGCTTAGTGATGCGTCCTGGTAGATCGCACTCACCTAAAAAACCCAGTTTGGTTTCGGTATTCTGGAATTCGGGATAGATACCCACTATGTTCATTAAGGCCAGAACGTACTGCTGGACTTTGTCCTTTCCATGGAAGGATATGAGGGAATGGTCCACGCCGACGGCGATTTCCAGCCAGCGGGTTGGTAAAGTCTTGCCACCTGATGAATAAGCTGGAATTGGTAGAAGAGTTTTGTCACTTTAGCTAAAATATTGCCTAAGACTGACTGGAAAAAAGGTGTTTGATATTGGAAGTCAAGACTCCTTTTGAAGCCTGTTTAACAGATTATTTCAAAAATTAATTTCACTAAAAGGGGTTGGTGAAACTGTAACTATTAACGATCCGCCAAACTTTACAAGTTCCTATCTCATAAACGGCTAGCGATGGTTTTAGGCCTGGGTAACACGGTGTTGAGTTGCGCTTTTGAGTTATTGCCGCTCTCTGAGTTAATGAGTTGTAACTCATGGACGGTGACTGGATTTTAACACACTGAAAAAAATTTCAGAGCGATGATGATTATACGCTTTTGCTTTCCTTGGTCCTTTTTTGAGAAAACCTAAGTTTTGTCGAAATCAACAAGATAACTTTCCTTCGCTTATTCGAAAAAGGCGATGAGTTTGAGGACCAAACTGTAAAGACGACGAATTTTCTTGTAAAATCCATCGTTTAACATTTTTGCATAAATAACTCTCAGTTTGCCAGTATTTTACAGTAAAACCTTACGAAAAACGCGTTGTCCTGTTTAGGGACAGCTTTGTTTAGAAATATTGACCTAAAAGTGAAGAAACCGGAATTTAAATAAACCAAATTATTCACAGCGACAAAAGTGACGAGTTTTCCGACTAATTGATTATAAACTTTCACTTGTTCTGTTCGGGGAAATATTTTTGGGAAAAAAACTCAGAAAAAATTATTAGGGTTTTGTCCAAAATTCGAAGCTGCAAAAGGTTCCAGAAAGGTGAAGATTGTCAGAATTTTAAGTAAATATAAAAATTATACGTTTTTTTGCGTAGAAAGCATTGCTTAATAGAAACTTTGATAAAACTGGAAAGACCTGAATTTTTATAGAAACTTGAAAAATCTTCAGAGCTATGAGGGTTGCGAATTTTTCAAATATTTTGCTTTCTGGCCGTTTTTTCAAGATAATTTTGATTACTTTCGGAAATAAACTGAATAAAATTATGTGATTTTTGTCCCATTATTGTCAGAAAATAAGAAAATCATCAGAAAATAATGTTTCTTTGCGTTTTTGCTTAAAAACTTTTAGTTTTGTGATCGGTTTTTGATAAAATCTTAATGATCTTCAGGAAAAAACCGGAGAAGTTTATTTTTATTTTTGTTCCGAATTCGACGCTGAAAAAACTTTCTGTAAAATTTCTTCAAAGCTATAGATTTATCTCGTAATTTTTCGCGTAAAAACCCTTCAGATCGTCAGTATTTTTAAGTGAAACTCTACAAAATAGAGCGTTTTTGACTGGAAAGTAAAGCAAAAAAAATCAGTCAAAACTAAAAAAACACATTTTTTTAACAAGGTCTACAGTCTTCAAAAGAATGCAGGTGACAAGTTTTCTAAATAATTTATTATAAACTTTCGCTGATTCTGTTCATTTGTGGATAGAAAATTATTTGATTCTTGTCTCAAAGGTGGAAAAGGACTTCGAAACTTTTTACAACAGGACGAAGGAGGCGAGTATTTTAATAAAATTGATTTCATCATTTAGTATTTTTAAGGAAAACTAAAGGAAAACCGGAATGACCTAAAATTTTAAAGAAACTTTAAAAATCTTCAGAGCGATGAGGGTTGGTTTGGTTTTTTATCGGTTTTTGAGAAAATTTTCATGATTTTCGGGAAAAACCGGGAGAAATTTATTTTAGTTTTTGTCCCGAATTTGACGCTGAAAAAAGCTACAGATTTATCTTGTAATTTTTCACGTAAAATACATCCATTGATCATTGATTCTAAACTTTCACTTGTTCTGTTCGGAGCTATATTATTAGGAAAAATTCAGAAAAAAATATTAGGGTTTTGTCCAAAATTCGAAGCAAATGTTTCAGAAAGTTTAAGAACGAAAGGTGAAGATCGTCAATATTTTTAAGTAAAACTCTACAAAATAGAGCGTTTTTGAGTAGAAGACAAAGCAAACAAAAATTCAGTCAAAACTAATAAAATACATTTATTTTAATTAGGAATGGAAAGGACGAGTTTTTCAAATAACTATTATGAACTTTCACTTATTCATTCGTTTTTTGACAGAAAATTATTTGATTTTTGTCCCAAATTCGAAGCTGGAAAGGGGTATAAAAACTTTTTACAAAGCGACCAATGAGGCGAGTGTTTTAATAAGTCTAGAAAATTGGGCATTTAGAAAAAAGAGCAACTTTGCTAAAACTGGAAAGTTCTGAAATTTTGCAATCTAAAAACAAGTAAAAAAGTCAACAACATTTTCCTAGCAACGGAACTGAGTGACTGCGCCGGTGCGTTGGGTTGGCGGACCAAGCCATTTGCGTAGCATTGCGCCAACTCCTAAAAATTAATTGAGTCACCCAGGCCTAGATGGCTGAATACTTATTAGGACCTTTTCGATAGAGCGTTTTGAGCGCCATCCTACCTTAATGAGGTTTCGTCAGATATTCTTCGCCTTAAGAATTTAGAAGCAAAATGGCATTGCTTAATTTTTCCGACAAAGTTTGAAAGCTTCGATCTCGGAAAAGGTTGGAAATATCTCGATAATCGCTTGGATCTTTTTGGTGAAACGTTTTAAGATCTTTGTTTTCCTTATTAGTTCGTATCAAACTTCCCTTAAAAACCTAATAAATTAAAATTTAACAATTTCTCTACCCGAAAACGGAGAGTTTTGCGAAATATTCTCTTCCCTTGAATTACCTTCGGTTATAACCGCAGACCAAGCAGTGTCATAGAAATACCCATTTTCCTCATCATAACTTCCACTGGCTGCTTTGCGCAAATACTCCAGAGGAATTTCAGTATCCGCATTTTCATATCGAGAGTCGTTGCTCTCGTTTATGGAATGATCAGAGCTAATATCAAAATCACCATAATTTTCTTCGATATCGATGGTGTCCCCGGTTAAATTGAAGAGCCAATCGGTGTGCGCTGCCCGAACAGGCCTAGTTGGAAAATTGTTTTTCTTTTGGCTGCAAAGGAATATTTTAAGAAGCTTTTCTCAAAAAGCTTTTCTTTCGTCAAGAAAAAGTCGATTAAAGTTGACATGCGAATGCAAAGCATCTGAGCGGGAATTAGTCGTTAAAATCCAATTTACTCCGTTCCTTTCGTAAAAATTTCGCGGGCGTAACGAATTTGAATCGATTCATACCTTTTAAACAATTTGTGGGCGTCATTGAAGGGTTCGAAAAAATACGAGTCGTTCCCCATTTCGAAATAACCCGTCAGTAAAGTGTTGCAGATGGACACGGCCGCTCTGCTCCAACTTTCCAGGCCCTGGATATATCCAGTTTTAAAACTGCATTTAGTCGCGTCCGAACTTGAGGTCGAGTTGGCCTTTATCCACTCAGCTTTGAAGTTTGATGCAAAATGCAAGTTATCTGGAACAGAAGGGTCTGGATTCACTTCGGGATAATTGAATTAGCTATAGAGTTGCTAGGGTGGCGTTGAATGAAAGTCATTTTCATTTGTTGATAAAGCAAAATTTAAAAAAACGTTTTTTAGCTTCATGTTTTAAAAACTACTTACCAGACTTGGTGAATATCAGCAACCATTTGTCTATGTGTATGAGCAGAATCGGCTGCTCAAAGATGATTTCTCGGGAAACTTTCGGGTGAACTATCAAGTACATTTCCGGATTTCCCTGATGAGGATGCACGTTTTCTAAGTCCTGCCAGTCGTGCTGCTCTAAGTACTTAGAATGCGGTACCGGCACTTGTGAAAAACCAGAGTAAACCACAGCTTAAATTAATGAATGTTCTACTCACCAATGGGTTGAATGCTTTCAAAAACGGCCAAAAGAAGGGTAAGTTCGATGACTCTGAGCTTTGCACGAAACATATCGATTCCGAAAGCCTTCGAACGAACAAACTTCGACTGAATCCAGATCCAGATGCGTTTTAATTAATGTCTAACGACTTAAGTGGTACGGCGGCTAATTGGTATTCTTGACCTAATCATCATTATTCATTGCAATTAGTTTTGTAAATTGTCGCATAAAACTCGTTTATTACAGAAATAGACGATGGACATGGTTGGAAGTTATTGGAAGGAATATAAAATAGAAGAATCTGACAACAGAGATAAGAATCACGTAAGTAGATGAGGATTTCGAAGTGTATTAATCTCAAATTCCCCAACATCAAGAAAGATTTATAAAAATGTTCTGTGTTTAGACCGGAAATCACATATGTATTAAAATGGTTTAGAAGCTTGAATGCTCAGTTTTGACTGTTTGCAATGCAAACATTTCAAACAAGTCGACTTTAAGTTTAATTATCCGATGGTTTTTTTCTGCAAGCATTTTTGCATTAAACCTTGTTTGATTTTGCAGAAGATTCATACTTGTTTGTGTCGTTTTAGATCAATTTTGGTTCAGCATTTTGCGTTTCGGCCTGCTTCTCCAATTCGTTTTGATTCTTTGCTGTATATGTTTGTTTGTTAGCCGTTCTACTACTGATTTTAGTATCACCCAAGTGAAGAAACTCACGTACAGAAGAAAGAGGCCGGTTTTGAATAATGTTCAGAAATATCGCCAAAAAATGGTAAATTTGTTAACTAAAAACTTTTTCGTTGCGTTTTTATATAGTTTCCAAGTTAAGAATTTCCTGAAAGTGCTCTAAGGCATGCGCTTAATTTGGAAGGTTGTCAAAAAATGCCTGAAAACGATCAAATTTTGGACCTTTTTAGTACTAAAACACCTATTTTTGTCTACAAAATGCAACAACGCGCAAATTAAATGTATTCATCGTTCCCGAGTTACAAGTTTAATCAGATAACTTTGCATAGGCTCATTAAAAGAATTTTCGGAACACGCAGAAAAAAGATCCAAATGTTCAATTTTCCGGCGATAATCAAGAATCTTTCCTCCATAAAACAGGGTAATGGACAATTTTTAGTTTTTAGTTTATAAAACAGTCAAAAATAGAGCACCAGCTTTGAAAAATTAATATAACCCATTTTCTCTAAAAAAATGGCGTATGGTCGAAGTTTTCTGTCGTCTTGCATCCGAGTTATAAATATTTTAAAAGAACTCTGCATGAGCGGATCTCAAGTAGCGTGCCAGTTTTTGTAAATTTTATGTAAAATACCTGAAAATTTTCCAAATTTTAAGCTCTGCCACCAAACACAGCCAACTTTTTCCTATGAAGAACCGTAATGCACATGATTCATTTTTTCATAGTTTTGAAAATAGCTAATTCAAAAAAAAGCGCAAGTTTTGAAAAACCGTCAGAAAATTCCTGACAAGGCCTCAAATTTAAAACTTTTTTGGATTCAAATAACATTCTTACTTCATAAAATGTCGGAACACTCAATTTTATGTTCTTTGCCGTTTCTGAGTTATGAATCTTCTAGACGAATGAGCATGAAAGCGCCAGTTTTCTAAAAAAAAATTCAAAATCCCCGAAAATGGGCCAAATTTGAAATTCTGCTGTAAAAAGTAACCAACTTATTCCTATAAAGTGCTGCAATGCACAAGTTTTACTTCCGTGGCGTTTCCAAGTTGGATAGTTTCTGAAATAACGGTTCTTGTACAAGCTTTCAGGCAAACCGTCGTTTGAAAAATTCTGAAAACTTCTCCGATTAAAAGCTTTTCTGACATTAAAAAGCATACTTTCGCTACAAAATGCCATAAAGCCTCAGTTTCAGTTCTTTACAGTTTCCGCGTTATGGACATTCTCAAAAAACTGTACAAGAGCGAGTTTTACGCAACGCCCCAGTTTGAATTTTTTTTGCTAAATGTCTGAATACGTCGCTAATTTGGAACTCTCTTAACAAAAATAGCCAACTTTTTTCTATGAAGCGTCGTAATGCACAAGCTTCTTTTCTTTGCGGTTACCAAGTTACGAGTTTTTAAAAGTAACTGGGCATGGACTGGCCTTCGGAAAAGCGCTAGACTTGAAAAAATCTCAGAAAATTCCTGAAGAAGACTTACATTTGAAATTTTCCGGCCACAAAACCCCCAAGTTGTCTATATAATCTTAACTAAACTAACTTAAGTTTGCTTTCTTCATCGTGTTCGAGTTTTCTATTTTCTCAGAGAACTATGCAAGAGCGGGTTTTAAGAAACATGCCAATTTTTGAATTTTTTTGCAAAATGGATGAATATGTCCCAAATTTGAAACTTTTCTGCCAAAAACATAAAACTTATTTTTCTAAAACGCAGTGATTTACATGTATAATTTCCACACGGTTTTTGAGATAGGAATTTTTAAATGTAACTGTGCATGAACTGGCGCTTGAATTTCAAAATTCCCTAAAAATTCCTGGAAGCGACTCCAAGATAAAATTTTCCAGCTATAAAACATCGTACGTTCTCTATAAAATGACCTGATACTAAAGTTTGGTTTCTTAGTCGTTTCCGAGATTAATTTTTTCGAAGAACTGTGCAAGAGCGAATTTTAAAAAGCCCGCCAGTTTTCCATGCAATTTTTTGCAAAATGTTTGAAAATGTTCTAAATTTTAAACTTCCCAGTCGTAAATATACAATTAATTTCTTTAAAACGACGTAATGCATATGTTTAAATTTTTTTGCGGTTTCCAAGTCAGGAATTTTCAAAAGTGACTGTGCACGAACTGGCCTTCAGAAAAACGCTGGACTAAAAATACAAATTTTTTGTCCAGTAACTGTGCATGCGCAAGTCTTAAAAAACGTGCGTGTTGTGGAATAGTTTTTGCAAAATGCCGGAAAATGTTCCAATTTTGAAACTCTCCTGTCCTAAATAAACGACTTTTTCCTATTACATGCTGTAACCCACAAGTTTCGTTTCCTCGCAGTTTGGGAGTTACGAAATTTGTAGATTAAGTGTGCATTAACGAACCTTCAGCAATACACTAGATTTGAAAAATTGTTGAATGCCACTCAAATTTGTAACTGTACTGTCATCAAAACCCAAATTTTGAGAAATTCTGAAAACTACTCAGATTAAAAGCTTTTCTGGCATAAAGAAGCATACTTTCTCTACAAAATGCCTTAAGGCCTAAGTTTCAGTTCTTGTCAGTTTCTGAGTTATGGAGATTCTCAAAAAACTGTGCAAGAGCGAGTTTTACGAAACGCGCCAGTTTTAGAATGTTTTTGCTACAGGTCTGAATAAGTCGTTAATTTGGAACTCTCTTGACAAAAATAGCCAACTTTTTTCTGAGATCCGCCGTAATGCACAAGCTTCCTTTTTTTGCAGTTACCAAGTTACGAATTTTCAAAAATAACTGTGCATGGACTGGCCTAGCGCTAGATTTGATTTGAAAAACTCTCAAATTTGAAATTTTTCAGCCACAAAACACCGTACGTTGTCTATATAATCGCTTGATACTTAAGTTTGCATTCTTCATCTTGTTCGAGTTATCAATTTTCTCAAAGAACTGTGCAAGAACGAGTTTTAAGAAACATGCCAATTTTTCACTTTTTTGCAAAATGGCTGAATATGTCCCAAATTCGAAACTTTTCTGACATCAACAGAAAAATTATTTCTCTAAAACGCTGTGATTTATATGTTTAACTTCCCCACGGTTTTTGAGCAAGGAATTTTTAAATGTAACTACGCATGAACTGGCCTTCAGAAAAGCGCTGGCTTTTAAAAATTCTGTAAATATTCCTGAAAGTTACTCAAATGTGAAATTTTCCTGCTATAAAACATCGTACGTTCTCTATAAAATGACGTAATGCTAAAGTTTGGTTTCTTCGTCGTTTCCGAGTTATAATTTTTTTTTAAGGAACTGTGCAAGGGCGAATTTAAAATGACGCGGCAGTTTTCTAGTTTTTTGGAAAATGTTTGGAAATGTCACAAATTTGAAACTCCCCAGTAACAAATATACAATATATTTTTCTAAAACAACGTAATGTTTAATTTCCTCACGGTTGAGTATTTGACGAATTTTTAAATGTAACTGTGCATGACCTTCAGAAAAGCCCTGGACTAAAAATTCTCAAAAAATTCCTGAAATAGACTCAAATTTCAAATTTTCCTGCCATAAAGCCCCACATTCTCAATAAATCGCCGTAACGCTGAAGTTTGCTTTCTTTGCCGTTTCAATTTAATTTCATTACCAATTTTATCAAAGAACTGTGGATGCGCTAGTCTTAGAAAACGCGCGTGTTGTGCAATAATTTTTTCAAAATACCTGAAAATGTTTCAATTTTGAAACTCTCCTGTTCTAAATAAACGGCTTTTTCCTATGAAATGCTGTAACCCACAAGTTTTGTTTTCTCGCGGTTTTTGAGTTTCGAAATTTCTAGAGTAAGTGTGCATGAACGAACCTTCTGAAATACGCTAGATTTGAAAAATTGCTGAATGCGACTCAAATTTGTAGCTGTACTGTCATCAAAACCCATATTTTCTCTACAAAATGCCGAAATAGTCAAAATGGTTTTTCTTCACACTTATCGAAAAATAAATCTTCTAAAACCACTATGAATCAGCGAGTCTCAGCAAGACCGCATGTTTGAGCAACATTCTTAAAAAAGTTGCCCAAAATTTCAATATTTTCTGTCATAAATAGAAAATAATTACGGTGAATTTTTTCACTATGGACTGGACATGTTGCCAGCAAAGTTGAAAAGTCAATCCAAGAACAAACAGAGTAAAAGTTAATTTAAAGGCAAACTTTAATTGGATGAATTAATTTCCTCTAATCCTATCTAGCATTCAGGACTTTAGCTAATTTAGGTAAAGTGAAACTCACCCACGAACAGAGCAGAAAAAGTCTAAACTAGTAAAAAAAATTATTCAAATTAGACCCTGAACTCAAGAATCGCATTAGGAAGCAGCTTAAAGGAGCACGGTTTTACTGCGTAAGCAAGCCAGAAAATTCTGAAAAAAAACCTATTTATTAACAAATCTTCTTATGGAATTATCCTAAACATGTTGAAAACAGCAATCAGTAAATCCTCAAGAACAAAACGGGCTTGTTCAGCCCCACTTCCCGAGTTGCAGAAGTTGTGCTCGTCACAACACGTAATGCAAGAATGCAGTTTGGTTCTTTCCCCAATCACTATGCAGCCGGAATCGCACGTTTCCAAGCAGTTTCTTTGCAACAGCCACAGTTTCGGTTTTCCGGTTACCTCCTCAGTGCTGGTCGACATGGATATTCTGCGCACCTGCAACACATTAATTTGATTCTTCGATGGATGCCAGAAAATCAGTTTTTGTACATGAAAAGTTAGCACAACCGAGCCTTAGAAAGGAAAACCCTGTCGGCAACGTGTTCAGTTTTCTTTATTCTTGAATTACCAAACTCCTCAAAAGCAGGCTTTGGGGCTCAGACAAAAAATGAGCAAAGGAAAACTCAAGATAATGTCGCCCTCAGGCTATTAATGGAGAACGAAAATTATATTTTCATTCTACGCAAAATTGTGGCTAAACTGGCTTTATTTTTACCGAACATTAAAACTACACCTATTAAGAAAACATGTTGGATTATTGGTGGTTTACTGGACTGGAAAGTCCTGTTTTTTTCTCATTTTAGCGAAAGAATGCAAACTAAATAAAGGAATTTGCGCCGTTCTCTGGCATAAATCATGCAAAACTGACACTGCGGGAAATGCGGCAGATAAAATAGAATTGACACGATTTCACAACAGCGGCAGCGCAATTTAAATTTTAAATCTCCTTCAGTGGGTCGTAAAACCCCCAAACAGACCGACGAAATGGGGTAGCAAATAAACCACCCATTGTCGTCTGGGCAACAGTGAGCTTTCCCAATGAGTCTGGAAAATTGTTCGTGCTGGTGGAAAATCTGAAAAAGTTTTATTGATCAAAGAAGAAGCTGAAGATGAAGCTAAACTGAAATAACTGCGAATTTCAGAGTCCCAGTATATAAAAGTGAAAACACCTCGAGCGTATTGTTTTTTGAAGAGCAAGTGCATTTGACCTTTGAAAATCTTATAACTCAAGCACCAGTGAGAGGAGCAACTTCTGACTTTATAGAGCGCTAAACAAGAGCTGGGGCTGCCTTTGAGTAAATGTCGCTTCAATCTCCTCATGTTGTAATTTTTTAGGGTCTCTGAAGCTTTGCCTCAAAGGTACAGACTTTGCACAGTTGTGCAACATTCGGAAAAAAATCTGAAGTCCGACTCAACTTGCACGAGTGAGTTGTCAATTACTCAGGAGGCAAACCACCAATTCAGCTACCTTTTGTCCAAATTTCACGGGTATTCCCAAATGTTTTTTGATGATTGGAATTTTTTTGTTCTTCTAAACCGTAACGCTCTAATAGCAAAGTGTTCAAAACTTTGCTAGCAAAGAAAAAAAATTGAAACTCTGGCACTACTTTGAGTAGCACACGGAAAATCACGGCAGGAATAAAGAAGGCTTTCAGTTGTTTTTGCGCCAAAATTTACCTAAATGCCTTCATGGGCTCATTTTTACAGTCTCTGAAACTTCACCTTAGAGATACCGAGCTTCCACCGGAATTCATTTGATTCAACTGGAATCAGCAATTTTCCTGCTAATCAGAAGGTAAACCAAACATTGAGCTAATTTTGTTCCAAATATCACTAGCATCGCCTTATAATTTGTGATGGCTCATCATTATTTAAACTTTAAAACTCTAACGCTGTAGCATCGAACAGTGTACCACTGCGCTACTAAAAAAAAAATCGCCACCCTCACATTACTTAGAGTAGCACATAGAAATTCACGGCAGAACGAACCAAAGCTTTGAAGCATTTTTTGACAAAAATTCACTTAAATGCAAGCGTTCCACCGCTGCGCAACATTTGAAAAATTCTAAAATCCGATTCAACTCGGACAAACGAGTCATCAGTCTCAGCAGAAGGTAACATAGATATTGGGCTTCCGTTGGTGCAAATTTCACGGGCTTTCCATAATTATTTTGAGGATTGGTGATTTCATAAGTCTCCAAACCACAACACTGTAGTGAGACACTGTTCACTACTTGACTTCACAAGAACTATACCTTTGAAATTCGTCACAGTTACGCGTGGTAAATTACGTCATGAATACAGGAAGCTCTCTGAAGTCTCTGAAACTTTGGCCAAGAGGTACAAACTTTCCATTGCTGTGCAACATAAAAAAAGTCTTAGATCCGACTGAACTTGAAAGAGCAAGTTGCCGGTTACTCAGAAGGTAAACGAAACATTGGACTATATTTGCGAGAAATTGTACGGGAATCCTCTTATGATTTTTGATATTTTATGATTATTTAAACCTCCCAGCCATGAAGCTGTAGTATTAAAGTTTTGAGTAGTGTACCTCAAAAGAAAAAACTTTAAACTCAAAAAGAAACAAAAACCAAAAAAAACACTTAAACCTCTTAGAGTTAGGTTTAGTAACTCATGCCCGGGAATACGGTAAGAACTGAGTCAGTTTTTCACGAAAATTTGGTTAAGCTCCTTTATGAGATAACTTTTTCCAGCCTCTGAAACTTTGCCCTAAAGATACAAAATTTTCACCGTTGCCCAACATTCCAACAAAATCATACATGTGGTTCAACTATGAGAAGCGAGTTGCCGGGTACTCAAAAGACTACAGAAACGTTGAACTTTCTTTGGGCCAAATTTCACTGGCTTGCCCCAATGATTTTGATGATTTTTATGATATTTTATACCTCCAAACCAGAACCCTGTAAGAACAAAGTTTTCGCCATCGTACTTCAGATAAAAACCATTTTCACCAAAACTATTTAGCCTAGTAAACTAGAACACAGAAAGTCTTAAGGCACTTCTTTTTAACAAAAAATCAGTAAAATCCCTTTATGTGCGCTTTCTCTAAAGCCTTTGAAAAGTTGGCCTAATGATACAGCACTTGATGCGGCCGTTGACTCGCATTTGAAAAACATTTTTAAATCCGATTCAACTTGAAAAAGCGGGTTTTCAGATACTAAGAAGGTAAACCAAACCTCTCACTACCTTTTTGTCTAATTATCATTCCCATTACCTTATAAATGTTAAACGGCCAAACCGTAACGTTGTAAAAAGATTATAAAGTGCCACCAAAGAAAAAAAATTGTAACTGCAACTAGGTACTTAACGAAGCACGGTAAATCACAGAATACATAAAAGAAACTTTGAGATTCACTCTTCACGAGCTCATTTTTTCCCGCCTCCAAAACTTTAGCCTGGAGTGTCGAAATGTTCACCATTGCGCAACTTTCGAAATAAAAATCCTAAATCAGTTCAACTGGAAGAAGCGTGTTTCCGTTTAATCAGAAGGTAAAACGCAGCTTGGCCTTCCGTTGGTTTACATTTCACTGGCATTTTCTAATCATTTTTGAAAATCGATGATTATTTGAACAAAAACGCTAATAACAAAGTGTTTACATTGCACGAGAAAAGAAAAAGTTGTAACTTCACGAATACTTAGAGTATCGCGCGGTACTTCACACGAAAGATGTATTAAGAAAATCCTTTATGTGTCAATTATTTAGCACAGTGGTTCCCAAACTTTTTTTCTCGTGAACCACTTTTAAAGTTTTACTAATCTCGGTAGACCGCCCTGCTGGTACATTTCTACTGTATTTCCAAAACTGCTCAAAAATATCACCCCGAATTGGAGGCCTTAAGAAGAAAAAAAAGTAGCACATTTTCTTGTCTCCTATTTATTAAAATAATACTTGTGGTTAAAGAAAATTATAAACATTTATTATTACAAACAGTCAACAATGAACTTTGAAATGTTAATCAACAATACTTTCTCATACTCATACGTTTAATGAGACGTACTTGGTGAATTGACAGCAAATTATCAATATTTGGCTTCAGTTTTGTAAGAAGTAATCTGAAATATCTCGGTTCTGTGATGCTCAAACTGCTCCTTTTTTGTAAACAGGTTGGCAACGCTACTAAAACTGCTTTCGACAAGATAGGACGAGGGAAACGCTATCAAAAATTTTCTCACAATTTCCGATAGCCCAGGATATTTTTCGGGGATTTCTGCCTGCAGCCAAAATGTTTGATAGCCTTTTTAAATTTTACATTCAGTTCCTCGTTGGTGCTGAGCTCAAGTAGCTCCTCTTGTAATACATTGATGAAAGCAAACCAAATTTCAAATAATCAACACTGTACTGTCGACATTTCTTCTTAAATTCAGCCATTTTTCGTATCAGTTGTGACCTGTAAAAAAATGATTGTTTTTGAGGCGATTTTACAAGAATATGGGTATTATAACACAACAGAATAGAATTATTGCAATAAAAAAATGCCCGTAGAAACACCGCTCTTTTAATGAATTGTCGTCGCGTAAATAAATATTTTTAAACAAAAAAGTACATAGGTGCCTAAAGTTTAACCTTTCTTGGCTTTTTGTTCTTTTATAGAAGTTTTGCATAATCTTTAGTATTTAATTTTTCCTATATAACTACCCACTACAGCTATACTCAAATAGTAAAACAAATATAATATGATTAATAAATTACAGTATACAATAAAATATGTATAACAAATAGGCAGATACTTACTTTTTCGGCACTGCAAACACTGACATCGATTCTTTCACAGTCACACTTTTATGTTCAAAATCCCAGAAACAAATGAGTTACATTTTGTTTTTGGCATTCGTATTTGTACTATTGTAGATGCAAGCACAGCGCAAGTCTCATTTGATCCCTTTGCAGGTCAGGGTGCAGGTGAGTACCAACCTAGTGAATGATGCTACCTGCCTACGTTGATAGCTAAATCCAAGCCAAAATTTTTGTTCATTATGAAAACCAGCAAATTTTTGGGCAAACCCTCCTTACAACTTGTGAACCCCTGTTTTCTTTTCACGTCTACGTGGACCGCCGTGTGGTCTCCTATGGACCCCTTTGGGAACCTATGATTTAGAGCCTGCGAAGCTTTAGCATTCAGGTGCAAAATTTACCGCGATGTGCAGCATATTCGATCCAACTGGAATGACTGACTTTCTGGTTTCCCAGAAAGTAAACCAAATATTGAACTTCCTTTGGATCAAATGTCCCGTTCAGGCCCCAATGAGTTTTGATGATTGATTATTTTTTAAACGTGCAAACCAAAACGCTGTTACAACAAACAATTATTTACCGCACTTTGATAGAAAAATAATTTTAACTCCGAAACATTAGAGCTGCACATAAGTAACGCCAAAAATAAAAACAACTTTGAGCTAAATTTCAACTTTTTTTCACAACATTTCACTTAAATCCTAACAGATTCTCAATTTTTAGAGGTTCCAAAACTTGAGCTTGGAGATGACCTGACCCTAGCTAGCAGTTCAATGCAAAAAATTGTACTTTCAAAAACACTTAAAGTATCACATGGAAAACCACGTCAGCGGTAAAGAAAGCCTAAAGCTTCTCTTTGCCTCTAATGCCATTTTTTAGAGCCTCCAAAACTTAGACTTAGAAATAAAGACCTTAGCCCGTTGAGAACGATTAAAAAAAACTTAAAAATCCGGCTCAATTTGGAGGAGTGAGTTGAGTTACAGTTTACTCAGAAAAAAGTGTTGAGTTAGCTTTCGAACAATTTTAACTTCCATTCCTTAATGATTTTTGATGATAGCTGATATTTTAAACCTCCAAACCACAACGCTGTTATAAGAAAGTTCTGGCTACTGCACTTCAGTGGGAATTTTTTAACTCCGATACTACTTAGAGGAGCATACGACAAATAAAGCCAATATTAATGGAAGCTTTGTTCTATAATTCGGTGAATTCTCAGTTAAGTATCCTCATCCGCTGACTTTTCAGTTTCCAAAACGTCCAGAAGGAAATAAACAGTTTTTGCCACATCTGTTTGAAGGACCAGGTTATCAGTTAGAATGTAAGCCAAACATTGGATAACAGCTTATGGTTTCCTAATCTCGTAACATCCGTGGCGTAAATTTTGAAACCTCCCAACCGTACGTGTCTAACAGAAAAGTGTACTGCAATGGAAAAATCCAAAAATCCAAAAAATCCAAAAAATCCGAAAATCCTCCGCAATTTGGAACAGCAAGTTCCAAATTGTTGTACGCGAAAACCAAGCACTGAGCCATCGTTTGTCCAAGTTTGACTCCAATCCCTCTAAGCATTGATTTTTGAGAAACCCCAGATGCTGAAAGTTGCAAACTCCGACATACTTGTACTACCTATCACTGCATTACATTTCTTAAAAAACTCCCAAACCCTTAGGAGCATTAAAATATAACTCCTAGTGGCAGTGGCGAAGGCTTTAGGAAACCGTTCAGAAATTCGTCACTGAGCTCAAAGCACACTCTGATATTTCCGACGGTCTATGGTAACAGAGGCTGAAGCAAGCAGACAAAAGATTCGATTGTTTTCCTGTAACCCCGCCAGTTTTCGTGCGATATTCACAGTTAAAAAGTCTTTTCCAAGCCCATTTTCTAGGCTTTTTATTTCCCAAATTGGCTGCCAACCGATTGCCAGAAGATATTAAGGGCTGTCCGATTCTGAACGGTTAAGAACTCCAGACAACAAAGTCTGCTCTATTTTGGACTCAGACACAATGACGTGCATGTTGAGAAACTTCAAGGCCCACAAAAAATCAATTTGCATTGGAGTAAACAATCATGTAAAAAGCTGGACTTTACCTGACATTTTTTCTGTTCTTTGGCACATTTCTGATGCAGATGGCTGTAGTTTCCAGACAGATCGAGACATTTGTCCCCATCCACCATAGAGTCACATTTGTGGCACCAGAGGTCGTGCTGTTTCTCGCTGGCCGCTTTTGTGCGATGCTGCGTCTCGGTCATGTCTAAAAGTCAGCTTTGAACACGATTTTTTCTCCGGAAAACTGGCCTCAATACTCACGAACGGCCTCTACAGGGAACAAGGCAACTGAGCAGAGACACCAAATCACTCTAATTATCATTCCTAAAGAGAAAAAGGTCGAACAATTCACTCATTTGTGGTATTTGATGCCCATGTGAAACCATCCAGAGATTAGAGCAGTTGCAGCAATGCGATTCATCTGTTCAAAATGCGCATGTTCTTTAGCCTGCTTCCTGTTTCCCCGAGGTTTTCCTTCGGTTTCCAGGGCAACGCGACCACGTCACAGGATCATTAAAGTATCCCGTATTAGTGCGATGTTTCGGTTATTTATAAGAAAATATTGGAAACGTGATTCTCTCATATTTTGTTTCACCTGTCGCACCTGTCGCTGAGTTAAATTGATCCAGAAGTCTACAGGAAGGCATTTTTCAGATGTTTCTAATTCGCCAGCAACAAGGACCAAGAAACGGTTAATTGTTGTGGGCGATGTAAATTAAGAGCGCCACAAGTACGAGACGTTTATCAGGAATGAAATGCAATTAGCTTAATCCAAATACGCTTGTTATGAAAAACATTTTTCAATTAAGTCGAGGCATCAGAATGCCCACCTTTGCAAGCTTTTTTACCTTCGCAGATTGTCAGCGACAGGCAAACAAGCTTGTGGAGGATGCAACGTTTTGGAAACGTTCACTTTGAAGTTATTTGCAAACAAAACCTTGAAATATTTTGTTGATTTGGACGCTCAACCGACGTTGCTGATGCGTATAAATAACGTTAAAACTGTGTAATTTACATGATCAAATTGATTATATTTGACTTTGCGTTTGATTCTTTGGCATCTTTAAGATAGTGAAAATCGCGTTTTACTGTTGCAACATATTTTGCAAGATTCTAATTTCCTTTATATAGATGAAATATGAAAAATAAATAAGAAATTTTTAGCAAAATCTCCAAAAGTTAATTTTCCGATTTAAAGTCCACTAATCAATTTGACACACTTTTCTATTATGTTTACGTCCATTTTTCTACTATGCACCAAATTTCATTTCTTACGTGTAAAAAATATTTCTAAACTAAAAAGTATCTAATCAGAAAACTCGCCTCCCTTATCGCTGTGAAGAATTTGCGAAAAAAATAATATTTTTTAACGTTGAAACCACTGCAATTTTGACCCATTTTTGGTTTATATTTAGGCCTGACTTTCTAGAATTAAGAAAACTTAATTATTTACGCTTCCAAAAAATTTTCTGTCAGAAAGTGTGTAACTGGAAACTCGCCTCTTTCATTGCTGTGTGGAATTTTTATAAACAATTAGTCTTCTTTGACGTTGGATTCACCGAAATTTTTGGCGCATTTATGGTCTATTTTTACGTCTGACTTTCTCCTAATAAGAATTCTTAAATTGTGAAGTCAAAAAATGTATTCAAAGTAAAAAAAAGTGTCTAATTAAAAATCTCGCATCCTTCGAAGATGTGTAAATACTTTAAACTAAATAATCTTATTTAACGTTATATCCACTGCAATTTTGGCACATTTTAGATGCTCTTGACTCCTGACTTTCGACTAGTAAGGAATTGAAATATTTTTAAACTGAAATAAATCAGTGATTGAAAAACCTCTAGTTGGAAAAGACTCCGCATTCTTTATCCCTTCTAATCAAAAACGTGTCTAATTGAAAATTTCCTTTCCTTCATCGCTGTGTGCAATTTTCGAAAGTAGATAATTTTGTTTCTGGTTTATTCCCTAGCAACTTTGGCCCAATATAGATCTGGTTGAAAAACTCGCATCCTTCATTAATTGTTTTTTTTGCGTTGAATCAACTGAAATTTTGGCACATTTTTGGATGATCTTGACCTCTGGTGATCCACTAACTGTAAGCCTAAAAATGTTTAATCAAAAATCACCTGGTTGTAAAAAACACAAATTTGAAAACTCACCTCCGTCATAGCTGTGAACAATTTGCGAAAATAAATAATCCTTTTTAACGTTTAAATCACTGCAATTTTGACGCATTTTTGGTTTATATTCACGTCTGACTATCTACTATTAAGGATTCCTAATTTCTGGCGCCATAAATATTTAAAATTAAAAATGCGTCTAATTAAAAACTCGCGTCCTTCACCGATGTGTAGATATTGAAAAGTAAATAATATGTTTTTAGCGATAAAACTATTGTCATTTTGACACATTTTTTAATAATCTTGACCTACAGCGTTCGCCTTATAAGAAATTTAAATATTTTCCCACTGAAATAAACCGGTAATTTAAAAAAGTGGAATTTGGAAACTCGCGCCCTCGATTGCTTTGCATAATCTCGAAAAGTTATCCTTTTGAAATAACGCTAAATCCAACAACAAATTTTAGCACAGTTTTGGATTATATTTACCACACACTAATATAAAAGAACAGTAAAAAATAAATATTTTTCCGCTGGGGCAAACCTGCGATTAAAAAAGAACTCGAATTAGAAAACTCACCTTTTTCATGGTTTTGTATAGTTTTAAATATTAAAATTTTTATATTACTTTAAGACAACTAGGGTAATTTATCACAGTTTTGGATGATATTTACGTCTGCTTTTCTAGTATTAAGAAAACGTAATTTTTTACGCTTCCATAAAATTTGCTAGGCAAGAATCTACGTAACTAGAAACTCGCTTGTTTCTTTGCTGCGTACAATTTTTATAAACAATTAGTCTTCTTTGACGTTGTATTCACCGAAATTGCTGGCGCATTTATGGAATGTTTTTACGTCTGACTTTGTTCAATTAAGAATTCTTAATTTGTGAAGTAAAAAAATGTATTCAAAGTAAAAAAAGTGTCTAATTAAAAAACTTGCATTCCTCAAAGATGTGTAAATATTTTAAAATAAATAAACTTCTTCAACGTTAAATCTACTGCAATTTTGGCACATTTGAGATGCTCTTGACTTCTGACTTTCGACTAGTAAGGAATTGAAAAAAAGGTTAACTAAACTAAATTAGTGATTGAAAAAACTCTAGTTGGAAAACTCGCCTCCTTCATCGCATTATATAATCTTTCAAAATTAACCTTTTCATATAACGTCAAGTCAACTAAGGAATTTTAGCGCTGTTTTGGAAGTATTTTACGCCTGCCTTTCGAGTGTTAACAAAACTTAAGAACTAACTAGAGTAAAGGACGTTTAATTTTGTTACCCTTGAACAAAGCTTTCTAATCAAAAAACGTGTCTAATTGAACATTGTGTTTCCTTCATCGATGTGTGCAATTTTCGAAAGTAGATAATTTTATTTAGCAATTTTGGCCCAATATAGATGAGGTTGAAAAACTCGCATCCTTCATCAATTTGCATATATTTTTAAAATAAACAGTTTTTTAACGTTGAATCAGCTGCAATTTTCGCTCATTTTTGATGATTTTGAGCTTTGACGCTCCACTGATAAGAAATTTGAATATTTAAAGACTGAAAAACCTCTGACTAGCAAATATCCTAATTTATCCTAATATTAAAACCCCTTCTGGAGGTTGAAACCTATCAAAACATTATTTTAAATGTTTTATTAAAATCTTCAAGTTGCACCTAAGAAATGCAATATCATGGTTTCCTCATTTTCTCAGTTTCAGCTAATTAATACAGAAAATTTGTGGCTTATCTACATTCAAATCCTTGAAGTTCAACTTGAACACTGCAAAACAAAAGGTTTTGGTAAAAAATACTTTTTAAGCAGGTTTGTATGCAAATTGTCTCAATGTCCAACCCACAAGCAAAGCAAAATTGACGCATTAACAAGTCATATAGGAAACAATACCACAAAAGCGTTTTCTGTCTCTAGAAAATTAACTGCCCTTTGATTGGTTATGAAATTACGCGATACATTTACAGGGTTTTTTTCATTATTAGTTTGATTGGTCATTAGACGGTGAGGGTGTTCCAGTCATAGTCTTCCTTGTTTCCTGCTCCCGTTTTGATCCCGAATCTGCGTTCCAGAGTCCTGCGACGAGTCGGCCCTAGTCAGTATCCTGCCGGAGCTCCGAGTGCCGAGAAAGGGGCGCAGTCCCGTTTTCCTTTCACTTCTTGCGAGTGTTAAATAGTGCGCTTCTAGTTTAGACGCTTCGCTAACGGAACCGTAACTTTTACGTTGCCGCCGCTTTATGACACACGGTAAGTTTGGGGAGTTTCTCCATCTAGTTTCTAGCGGGTTGTTTCGAAAATTACCCGTCCAACCATCTTGGATTGTTTGGCATCGGAATGATCTGGACCTGAGAGTCAACGACCGGTTTTTACAAGTCCGTTCAATTGCTGTAATAAAATAGCAACAGTGTGCTCTTCATGAATTGCAAGAGTTGCTTTCACACGGAGTGTGTAAGACGAATTAAAGTGTGATTTTATGCTTCATGGTTCATGATCGTGGTGTGGAAGGATTTCATCTTATTAAGCCAAAAAGTATTTATATTTGGCACATTTTTGCATTTTTTTGGCTCCAAATGAGATATATCTTATAATAAAAAAGTGACTAATTGGAAAACTCACCTACCTCATCGCTGTGAATTTTTGTAATTCAATATTTTTATTAAACCATACTTCGACTGCAATTTGAATGAATTTTTGGGATATATTTAGGTCTGACGTTATCCAACAAAAGAGTTTCATTATGTTGTGCCTTCAACAAGAATCTGTGATTATTGTAAAAAATGCGGCGAAAAATTCGCTTCCTTCATATGTCTGTAGAATCTTTGAGCGTGAATATTATTTTTAAACTATATGTGTACTGCATTTGTGAGAGAGTTTGGGGTGATATTTGCGTCTGATGATCTTCTCCTGAGAGTGTTTCAATCTTTCATGCTTAAAAGGAATCTATAAGTATTTAAAAAAATAATGGTGACCTAAAAAACTCGCTTCCTGCATCTGTCTGTATAATTTTTCGAATAAATATTCTTATTACATCATAAATCTGCTGCAATTTCGATGGATTTTTGAGTGATATTTACCTCTGGTGTTCTTCCACCAAAAGTGCGTAATTATTTTATGCGTAAGAGCAGAAGCAATGATTTTTAAAAAATACGCGGCAAATTTAAAAAAATCGCCGGCTTTATCTGTCTGTATAATATTTGAAGTAAAAATTCCTATTGAACTTTGAGTCTGCAGTAATTGTGGAGCATATTTGGGTGATTTTTGGCCGATGTTCTTCCGGTAAACGGGTTTCATTATTTAAAATTAATGATCAAATTAAAAAAATGTGTCGAATTGAAAAACTTGCTTCCTTCGTCTGTCTGTATAATCTTTCAAAGTGAATAGTGTTATTAAACAATAAGTCAACTGCAATTTGGACATAATTCTGGGTGATACCGACATCCTCTTTCATCAAAAGTCTTTCATTTAATCCCTAAATGGAGAAACTGCGATTATTTTAAAAATAAGTTGCGAATTAAAAAACTCGCTTCCCTCATCTGTCTGTATAATCTTTGGGAGTAAATATTATTATTAAACTCTAAGTCCACTGCACTTTTTACTTATTTTTGGGCCATATTTGCTCTGACATCCGTCCACTAAAAGTGTTTCATTATTTTAAGCGTGAGAGTAGAAACTATGATTTTTTTTAAATAAGTGGAAAATTAAAAAACTGGCTTTCTTAATCTGACAAAAATTCCTATTGAACTATAAGCCCGCTGTAATTTGACGCATTTTTTGGGTTTTTTTACGTCTGATATTCTTCCAGTAAAACTGCTTCATTATTTACAACCTAAGAAAATCTATGATAATTTAGAAAAATGTCTTGAATTAAGAAACTCGCTTCCTTCGACTGTCTGTGTAATCTTTGAAAGTAAATATTTTTAATAAACAATGAGTCCATGGCAGTAATAATTTGAGAATTGACAAACTCGCCACCTTCATCTGTCTGTATAACCTTTGAGAGTAAATATTATTATTAAACTCTAAGTCCACGGAACTTTTATCGTATTTTTGGGTGATAATTACATCTGGTGTTCGTCCACCAAAAGAGTTTTAATTATTATATGCGACAGAGTAGAAGCTATGATTTTTGAAACATAAATGTCAAATTAAAAAATTCGCTTCCTTCGTCTGTCTGTATAATCTTTAACAGTCAATATTTTTAGTAAACAATAAGTCCACTGCAATTTGGACGTTATGCTGGGTGATACCGACATCCGACGTTCTTTTATCGAAAGGGTTTCTCCGTATTCCTAAAAGGAGAATATGTGATTGTTAATAAAATATTCTTAATAAGTGACAAATTAAAAAACTCGCTTCCTTCATCTGTCTGCATAATATTTGGAATATAAATTGCTATTGGACTATAAGCCCCCGCTGTAATTAGACGCATTTTTGAGTCCACTGCAGTTAGGACGTTATGCTGGGTGATCAGACATCCAACGTGCTTTTATTGAAAGGGTTTATTTGTATTCCTAAAAGGAGAATCTGTGATTGTTAATATAATAATCGTAATAAGTGGCGAATTAAAAAACGCGCCTCCCTATCTGTCTGTATAATCTTTGAAAATAAATATTATTGCTAAACTCTAAGGCCACGAAACTTTTTACGTATTTTTACGCATTTTCGGGTGATATTTACATCTGATGTTCGTCACCAAAAGTGTTTTCATTTCTTAATGAGTTGGAGCAGAAGCTATGATATTTTAAAAATAAGTGGCAAATTAAAAAATTCGCTTTCTTCATCTTTTTGCATAATATTTGGAGTAAAAATTCCTATTGAACTATAAACCCGCTGTAATTTGACGCATTTTTGGGTTTTTTTACTGTCTGATATTCTTCCAGTAAAAGTGTTTCATTGTTTAAAGCCCAAGAAGAAAATCTATGATCATTTAAAAAATGTGTCGAATTAAAAAACTCGCTTCCTTCGTCTGGCTGTATAATCTTTGCAAGTAAATATTTTTATTGAACAATAATGAAAAAATTGAACAATAAGTCCCCCGCAATGTGAACGTAACGTAATTCTGGGTGATACCGACATCCGGCATTCTTTCATTATGGTGAGTTCAGCGACGGTGATTATTTAAAAAATAAGTCGCGAATTAAAAAACTCAATTCTCTCATCTGTCTGTATAATTTTTGAGAAAAATATCATAATTTAACTCTGCAATGAATTGCAATAATCTGCAATTATTTTTAAAGTCTACTGCACTTTTTACGTATTTTTGGGTGTATTTTGGATTTTTACATATGATGTACGTCCACCCAAAGTGTTTCATTATTTTATGCAGAAATGGAGAATCTATAATTATTTCGATTATTTCACTCTTCCATAGCAACGCCATAGGGCAAAAAAGGTATTAATAAACGGTAATTCACTCTGGCATGTTTTCCTTGCAAATTTCACTCGTCCTTCGGACTCGTGAAATTATGGAAAACATGCAATCCTGAAAAATTATCGGTAATTTCAAAGCACTCGTGGTATTACCTCCGAAAAATTTGTAACTAATTATAAAATTCACTTAAATCTGTTCGCATATTTTTTCAAATAAGATATTGTTATTTCATAATGCACTAACCAATTTTGGAACATTTTTGGAAGATTTTTACACACGACGGTCTTCAACCACATAACTATTTTAACGATTGAAAATTCTTGTGTGTAAAAATATTGTGAGGCATCAGAAAATTCGCCATATTTTTACTTAAACAAAATGTACTATTTTGGCCTAGAATTGGGTAATATAAATAAAAGCAGATTCTCTTTTTTGCCAGTATGCCCATAGAGCAATTTTTGAGCATTTTTATATAATCCTTTCGTCTAACGTTCTCCTACCAAAGTGTGTAATTTTAAATTAAAAAAAAATTGTTTGGTTTCTTCAAGAAATAAGTCGACAATTAGAATACTCGGCTCTTTTACTGGTTTGTAAAATTTTTAAATTCAAATTTTTCTGTGAGAGAAAGTGTAAAAAGCAACTTTTGCACACTTTTGAGCAACCTTTACTTCTGACGTTCTCCTATCAAAAAATTTTAGATTTAAACCCTGAAAAAAACATTTATGGATGTTTTATCAAAATAAGTTGTTAATTCAAAAACTCGCATTCTTCATCGGTTTGCATAAATTTTAAAAGTAGACTCTTTTTTTACCGTAAGGTGATTAATTTATGTTGATAGTCTCACAGTTTTCACTTATTAGCTGCAAGGGTTTTATTCTTTTAACAAACATTTAATAAACTAGAATAACTAACTACAAAATCATACAAATAGAAAACAATAAATTTGAGAATTTCAGAAAATAAATAAATAAATTCCCTGTTAATAAATGTGTCAAACAAAACACTAAATCACAAAGTTGTTTTTTCTTTAAATTTTTTAGAGTATTGATTTCCCTTTTAACTGTCCCCTTACACATTAATTTCGTATTCTGTCCCTTCGACTACTCTTTTTGATGCTATTTTTTATTCCAGCTGTAATTCTATGTTGTATCCACCTCCACCTTTTCCTCTTCGTTCTATTTCCTCCTTCATCACTACCCTTTTCGACTTCACTTTCGCTTTCAGCTCTGTCACCGTTTTCCTCATTAAGCAGGTCTGGTGCTGATGATTGATTATACTATTTACTTTCTTATTTTATTAGTTTTTTTAATTTATTTTGATTGCTGATAGTTGATTACTTCATCGTTTTACAAAATTGTTGCAACGCTTCCTTCTACTGCATTCTCCATATTTTTCACTCATTTACTTTGCGTTTTATAATTTTAATTTATTCTCCCATTATCACCCATTCTGCTGAATTTCAAACTAAAAAATATTTTACAATCCACAAAAAACTTTTTCTGCAAAATCCTCCCCGAGCTCTTGGGTCATATTTCAATCGCTCCAAGTCGCTGTTATTTCTTCTTGCAACAACCGACAAGAAAAACGCGTCAACTTTTGCGCTCAATGTCTAAATGTACTTTATTTCAGACCAATGTATTACCAACAGTCTTGATTTATTATCGCATTTTTTCCAAATTCCCTTAAGAAACAGTTTAGCAAAGTTTCCTTGCACTTTCGTCCTGTGCTCCACGGGGAATCGTAAATTCCGTTTTCCCTGTCGCCCTTAACACGTAACAAACTGGGAGGGTTTTCGAAAACTTTTCACTCAATTTATTGGGTGTGTTTTACGATCTCATAAACTGAACAAAAACCGCCTCAACTCCAGAAATCCTAG